TACTACACTCAAAATGCAAAGAATATCTAGAAAGCAATTTTTACAAGCACTAATAAGACGAAAAGCAGAAACAAAGCCAATAAACGTAAAAAACATATATCCAACCTACCAGTATAGGTACAAAAACACATATGTAAAAGCATAGAAAATAATCTAAAATCACACAAGAAATTTTAACAAGGACTGAAAGGTGGGAGGTGAGAAAAGGGAACTCTCACCACTTCTTAGCCCATATATTCCTGTAGTATTTTAAGTTTTACAAAACGAATATATTCGGGACGCCTGGGTGGCTCAGTCAGTTGGGCGTCTGCCTTCGGCTCAGGTCCTGACCTCAGGGTCCTGGGATCGAGCCCACGGCAGGCTCCCTGCTCAGTGGGGAGCCTGCTGCTCCCCCTGCCTGTGCTCGCTTTCTCACTCTCTGACAATAAATCTTTAAAAAATATATATATATTCTATTCAAAGAGATGCTTAAAATTTTAAAGAAATTATTAATGTTCAAAATGACATAACCTCAAAGATATTAAAACACAAAAGGAAAAAAACTCCCCGTGATCTTCAGAGTCTCCTACCATCTTTCTAATAGTTTACTGTGTCTACTTCATTCTGCAGTGAGACATTAACTCGGCTGGAACTGAGGTTTGTGTGAGGCGTGCAGTGGAAGCAGCCTCTCCCCCGTTCCAGTGGGAGACCACACAGTGAGCAGTCGTGGCTCTCCCAGTGGATGTGAAATGCCTCCCTTCTCATGGGCTAAACCCTCACAGCTACAAACGCCCCTCGAGCGCCCCGGGGTGAAGTAAGTTTCCAACCGGGGCAACCTCTCTACAAAGTACAGAGCCTCCTCTCGAGACACCTGGGCGCTTGCGACACACAGAAGCACTTGGGGACCGTCAGCCACGCAGCACGAAACCCGTCCCAACGACCAGGCAGTGTGGGAGCGCGAGGCTCTGGTACTGACCGCGGCTGAAGGGCAGCAGGCTGCTCAGGTAGGGGAAGCTCACTCTCCTCAGCTCGTCCAGCTTCTCCTGCAGCTTGCGCACCTGGCTGTCGGAGCGGCTGACCCTCTGCCGCAGGGTCTTCAGCTCGCCATTTTTCTTCTCCACCTGCTCCCGCAGGCAGCACACCTGACTCTTGTTCTGTCGGGAGGAGAAGCAGTAGGAGTGCAGCGAGTCGATGAGTTTACAGGCCCCCGACGCCGACAGGATGACCTCGTTGATGGACATGGGGCTGGCGTCACTGTGCTCACTCTGCACGGCTTCGGCCGCTGGCTTCGGGGTGACATCTGTCGGAGGAGCAGAGGAGCTCTGGGAGGGCTTCTGAGGCGTCGCTGTGAGTGATGAACTCGGGGGGCTCTGGGCCAAGCCCTTGTCGGGCCCCAGGCTGGTCCCGCTGCAGCCGGGCTCCACATCTCTCTTCAGCCTCTTTCGGTCAACAGGCTCTCGGGGGACAGATGCCCTCTCTCGAGTGTGCTTGGAGGAGAAACTGTAAGAATGAAGTGAGCCAATAAACTTGCAAGCCCCAGACCCTGGCGGGGTAAAGTCATCCATGGAAATGCCGCTCTTATCCACCAGGTTGCCGCGGTTGGGGGCGGCGCTCTCACCACCAGCATCCACAGCTGCTCCCTGGCTGCCTGCTGCGGCTGTGGCCAGACCATCGCCTGCAGTTCCTTCCGGGGCCTGCCACGTGTGCTCCGGACTGGTGGCTTCCTGGGAGGCCCTGGGCGCAGTTTCATTCTGCAGTGCAGCCTGCTTCACCTTCCGGGACCCTGGCTTGGCCATCAGGTTTTCACCTGAGGACGATGATGAACCTGTAGCTCCTTTCCCGTCTGCCCCGCTCGCGTGTCCCCTCAGGGCCCCCGACGCCTTTCTGGTGACCTTTCTCCTCGTGCGGCCATGACCTCCACTGCCCCTCTTCTTCTCGGGCAGGTGGAAGATGGAGGGCACCGCCGTGGGCTTGAGCAGACGATGCTGATCCTCCAGCCTTTTGGAGAAGCTGTCTTTGGTGAAGTGTTCACTACAGAGAAAAGAATACTTAGTGGGGGTCCAGTTATCCCTCTGAACAGCTTTTAACCACTGTATCAGACGTTTTGAGTCCTTTAGGGGGAACCTGCAGGAAAAATGACAACAGAATTAGGAAGAAGTAACTACATGTCTCCTCCCAAATTTATCAACGATAATATGGCAAAACAAGTGTTTCTGCAAATACCCAATCCTGTATTGACTCTACCCATTTAAAATTTTAGTAAAAGGGCGCCTGGGTGGCTCAGTCGGTTAAGCGACTACCTTTGGCTCAGGTCATGATCCTGGAGTCCCGGGATCGAGTCCCACATCGGGCTCCCTGCTCAGCAGGGAGTCTGCTTCTCCCTCTGACCCTCTTCCCTCTTGTGCTCTCTATCTCTCATTCTCTCTCTCAAATAAATAAATAAAACCTTTAAAAAAATAAAAAATAAAATTTTGGTAAAAATTTAAGGAACACTTTCTACTTGGAAGTAATCACAAGATAGAAAGATAATGGGCTCATTGCCTGCCCTAAGGTGCTTACAACTGGTAGGGCAGATAGAGAATGAAGCTAACTCCTCCCAGGCTGTGGTAAATGCCTTGTAGGAGAGATCGCACAGGATGGCATCCAACAGCAGGAAAGGCTTCAGGAAGCCTTGGAAATAGTTGCTAGAATCACACAGCTGAACAACCCTCCTGGTGCGCCTCGGATGCAGGTTGGGTGCTAAAACAGGGGTGGCTGGCTCCCCTCCCTGCTCAAAAGCCAGGTCTGGCGCTGGCCGGCAGAGAGGGGAGCAAGAAGCCAGAAGAGCATCCCAGACCGTGCCTGAGCCCAGCCTGAGCTGTGACTCAAGCAGCTGAGGATGCGAGACAGACTAAGACGAGGCCAGACTCAAAAGCTGCAGTCCCGTGTTCCTGCTATAGTCCCACTGCCAGGAGCAAAACTGCTTTTTAAAAAGCAGCCAGCTCAGGGAAAATACTGAATAAGATACTTAGTAATTATTTCTTCTCTTTTAAACAAGAGCTCTATTTAGAAAACTGGGAGGAAACTCTACCCAGGGGCGGGTGGTTATTCCGGAGGGCTATCTGCTCCACCTGAGGTCATCTAACCCACCTGTGGCCACTGTGGACCAGAACCAGGACCAAGACGGATACGAACTCCCCAGGAAGTTCTGTGCAACATGACCTTCTACACTTCCTCAATGCTTTGTGAACCCATTTCCCCAAGACCCCGATTCCCATGTCCTTTGCCCCAGCAAAGACCATCGTGAAGGCCAAGGGCAGCCTTCTCTGCAGTGCTTTGCCTGGTTTTTGAAAGCAGTATCAAAACTTTCTGGACACAGGCTCTGAAGGAAACTCTCTTCAAGAAAGCATGGTGGCTGGCCTCTAACAATGTTTGACAGATTGTAACAGCTTAAGAGAACAAACCACTGCGAACTTCCAATAAGCTACAGGTAACAAATACCACTGGATTCTCTAAAACTTAACTTCCTGTACCCTAAAACAGAAGTATCTGCGAGGAGGCTTTCCAGGGAGCCAGTCGGCAGAAGAGGACTCGCTGAATCAGGCTGAATTCCAGAAGCCCTCAGGAAGGGAGCCAGGCAAGCGAGAAGACAGAGCCCTCTCTGCCTCCGCGTCCAAGCAAGAAGTGGCGAACAGGGCCCCGTGCGCGAGTCGCAGGGCGAGCCTCCGGCTGAGAGCCGACCTCGTCCTGCTCCAGCGCAGGATGCTGCGAGACCGCCTGTCCGGGGACGCCCCGCAGCGCAGCAGGGCCACCTCTCCCCGCGTGTGGGAGCGCGTGTCAGTCCTCGAGGTACAACTTACATTTCCTCAGCCGCACCGATCAAGGCAGGCTCCCTTGCGATCAAAAGAGCACAAAAGTCACAGCAAATACAAGAAGACAACTGACCCAAGAGCGTTTCCAGAACACACTGTCTGGAAATTAGCGGTGCCAGCCCGAATCAATGGAGCCCAGGGTGGCCGCGGGGTGGGGGGGGGAGGGCGGTGGTGGCCGTGGGATGGCCTCCGGGTGGCCTCCAAGTCGGCGTGGGGGGGGCGCCGGGTGGCGGAAGGACGAGAGGCGCGGGGCCGCGGGGTGGGGGGGCGCAGCCGGCCGCGGTGACCCGCGACGCCCGGCCCAGAGACGGCGGCCCGGGCCAAGGTCACACAGCGCCCGGCGCTGACTCACTCGCGAGACCGGCCCCGAGGCCAGGCGCGCCGAGGGCCTCCCGCCTCGGGCCGGGCCGCGCGGCCTCAGTTTCCCCGCCGTGCCGGGCCGGGCCGGGCGGGGGCGTGGCCGGCGAGCCGCGCGGGCGGCGGGCAGGGCGGCGGCGGGCGGAGCCCGGTTACCTGTGGAAGGAGACGGCGCGCTTCTCCCCCTTGCCCTGCCGGTTGGAGCAGTTCGCGGCCGCGCAGCAGATCACCATCTCGGGCCTCAGGCCGCCGCGCCGCCGCCAGGCTCCGGCCCTCGCCTCGCCGTGCCGCGAGCGGGACCGCCCCGAGGGGAGGGCGCGCGGCGACACGGCTGCGGGACGTGGGAGCCGGCCCCCGCGGCTCCCGTACGGCAAGATGGCGGCGCACGCCCTGCCGCCCCGCCGCCCGGCCGCCCGGCCGGGCCTCGGCGTGCCCGGGTTCCCCAGTACTCGGCGGGGCGCAGCCCGCGGCTCCCAGCGTCGGGGGTGGGCGGGGGCGCTCTGGGCCGGCGGCCCCGTACGGCGGCATGGCGCGCCGGGCCGTCCGTACGGCAAGATGGCCGCGCCGGCGGCCTGGCCGAACGGCAGGTTAACACGCCCTCCCCGGGGCCCCGCCGCTCGTCCGCCTCTGCTTCCGCTACCCCCACGGGTCGCTGTCGGGGTCCCCGGAGCGAACGGTGCAGGCCGCCAGGGAGCCGAGCGCGCGGGCCCAGCCCTCGGCGTTGGGCCTCACCGTACGCCAAGATGGCGGACGTGCCCTTCCTCCCGCACTTCCGGCCCCGCCCGCGCCCTCGTCCTCGCGGCCCGGATTGGCCCCGGCAGCGGCCCGTCGCGTCGCGCTGCGGAACCGTCGGAGCGACGCCGCTCTCAGTCGGCGGCCGGAGACGGAAGATGGACGCAGGTGAGGGCCCTAGCGGACGCGGGGAGACCCACGGGCGACGCCCTCCTGGCCCCTTGGCCGCCGGGGTCTCTCCGAGCGCGGCGTGGGTGCGGGATTGGCGCGGGGTCGCGGGGCGGAGCCGGCGCTGGCGCCGAGCAGGGCGGGGACGGCGTCTGTGGGAAGGCCGGCGCGGGTCTGACAGTCGGCTGTTTGCGTGTTTCGGCGCTTTTTCAGTCCTGCCCGCAGCGCCCGGGCGCCCGGCACAGGCCCAAAGCCGGCGCGGACAAGCGGGGGCAGCGTGGGGTCCGAGGCGGGCGGGAAGGGCGCCGGGCGGAGCTGGCTCCAGAACCGGCGACTGGAGAATGCTGTGCTTGCCCCCACCTCATGCCCCAAGCATTAAGGAGTGGAAGCTCTTTAACTCTTAGGAAGTTACGTTGGGAGGCTGGAGGCGAGAAATACGCTCCCGACACTCACTGCACACGCATCTCAGTGGCCAGTAGATATGCAAGCTTCCTGTTCGTGGTTGAAGAGAGAAACTGAATTCATCTCGTCATATCTTAACTTCTTGGGGTCCTGATGCGAAGTATGTGGCGGGTGGGAGGGCGTATGTGTACATGTGTGTCCGTGTACACGTGGGAATATGTGCATATGTGGCGTTCTGGCCTGTGTTATCATGCTTCTGTTCCAGAGGGGACAATTCCTTAATTTTTGCTTGTAAACTATTTTGGGTCTTTGTTCGGTAGGGTTAACTGATACGGGCTCTCTCATCCCAGGGTAGTTTTAGTCCTTTCATTCCTTGTAGGGAGTGATTTGCCTTCAAGCACCTCCCCCCTCCCCCACCGCCACCTGGTTTAATTCCACCTGTCATCCTGGATGGCTTTGTTTGCTTTGTCTTTCTTCTCTTGGCATGGGCAACTTAAATTTACCGAAATCTCAGTTTGGAAACCGGAATGCAGACATGTGTGGCCAGTATTTCAATGACTTGTGGCATCTGGCTGGAGCAAACAGTAGTCCTAACTCCCAAAGAAGCATGTTAACCAGATTATTTTTTGTGAAGTTGGTTTAAAAAAGAGAAGCCAGAGAGAGTGTTTTACTGTTTGCTGGGGAAATGGGGTGGAGAAAGCAATAGAACTATTTATCTACTTTCTTTGAAGTTATCACTGCTCGGATATTTTAGACTTTGTAGGAGAGACTTGGGTAAGGTGGAAAAACACAATTCAGTGTTGGTCATGTTACCTTAAACGTGAAAATCATCAGGTTAAAGTTGAAGGGTATTTCAAAGTAGAAAAAAGTGTTTGTATTTGAAAGCTGCTGTTGATGCTGATAAAAATACATACGATCTTTGGAGGCTGTGGTGGAGAGCTTTTTTCTGACACGATGCTGCACATCTTTTTAGGGTGATTAATGGTGCAGCCTCCTCTGATCCCTGGACTCCTTACAAAGCCTGCCTTTCTTGACCAAGTCTTAACGCAGTTTCTAGTTCTTTTTACAGTGATCCATTCAATAAACTGCATTTGTTATTGAATGAGAGGTTTGTCTTGGGCATTGTTCTAGATCCTGGGGCTAGAGAAGTGAACAAAATAGACAAAACCATGTGGCTCATGTGGGAGAGTGGTGTGGGCCAAGCAAGAGGGAGTTAGAATCATAGCCAGGATGGCCAGGGAAAAAATCTCACTGCAGACAGAGGTAAGTTTTGACCAAGACCCAAAAGCAGTGCGGGAGGAAGGGCAAGTGGGCCCGTGTGGCCAGGATGCAGCAGGTGGGGGTGAGAGAAGTAGGAGCTGAAGGCAGAGAGACAATTTGGCCCAGTCACGGGGCCTGGTTGGGTCATAGTGAGGACTGGGGCGTTTATTCTAAATGAGTTGGTGAGTCTTGGAAGGTTTTGAGTAGAGAAATAATGGGATGGATGTTTAGCGCACTGGTTCTGGCTGCTCTGTCCAGGATATACAGCCTGTCCTGAAGAGGGGCAAGGGCAGAAACGAGACCAGTTAGGAGGCTGTTGCTAAGCCAGGTGAGAGGCCGTGGAAGCTCAGCTCAGGGTGGAGAGAGGAGGTTGACTTCTGGATGTATTTGAGGGTTGAGATTGCAGGACTATGTACAGACTAGAAGTGATGGGGGTGGTGGGAGGCACGGAGAGGGAGAACTTGAAGATGGTGTTGAGGTTTATGGCCGAACTGAGAATGTCTTGTGGGGAAGACTTTGGGGGTCTTGGTGGGGGAGCTGTTGGTTTTGTATGTGCTGACTGTTGTTAGACATCTTTCTTATGATGTCCAGGGAGGCTTTGGGTCCACGGGCCTGGAGCTCAGGGCGTAGGCCTGGACTCCTGGTCGATGTGTGGGAAGCTGCTTTGGATGAGGGTCTGAGAAGAGGAAGAAAGAAGGGGCCTGGGAGGGGCACCCAGGGCTGCTGGCTGGCATGGAGAGGTCCAGAAGGTGGCAGGCGGACTACAGGCTGCTTGTGTTCTCCACTGAGCCCCCAGCACTGTGTGTGAGAACACATTCAGGACTCAAGGAGTGGTGGGTGCCTGCAGTTAAATGGCTGTGCTGTCTGTGCCTTGAGGACAGAGCCCGTATCTTGAGTTTGCGTCTCCAGGGCTTCAGTTGTGTCTGGCATGTGGTTGGTAGTCGAGGAAGCAGAACTTGAATTCATGGCAACTTACACGTTCCTGCACTATAAGGACTTCAGTTTAGAGAGTCTGTTAGTGTGTAAGGTGTCAGTGGTGAGAAGGGCCTGCTGATCCCTGCAGGGCAGGGGTGCTCAGTGTGGTGTTCTGTCCCGTGTGCTCTTGAGCGCCGTCTTTTCTAGGTCTCTGGTGTAGCCGACGTTCTGGGTGCTTTTCCTTCCTCTTCCTTCCTTTTCATTCAAAACTGAACTACCAACATCTTCATGAAAACTATTTGGGATTTTAAAAAGTAACTACTTGCAGGGGCTCGTGCGTGGCTCAGTCGTTAAGCATCTGCCTTCGGCTCAGGTCATGATCCCAGGGTCCTGGGATCGAGCCCCACATCGGGCTCCTGGCTCAGCGGGGAGCCTGCTTCTCCCTCTCCCTCTCTCCCTGCTCATGTTTTCTCTCTCTCTCTCTCAGTATCTCTGTGTCTCAAATGAATAAATAAAATCTTAAAAAAAATAAATAAAAAGTACTTGCAAACCTGTTACTCTAAACATAAACATTCTTTTTTTTTTTTTTTTAAGATTTTATTTACTTGACAGAGGGAGAGAGCGAGCGCACAAGCAGGGGGAGCGGCAGGGAGTGGGAGAAGCAGACTCCCCGCTGAGCAGGGAGCTCAATGTGGGACTTGATCCCAGGACGCTGGGATCATGACCTGAGCCACGGACTGAGCCACCCAGGCGTCCCTAAACATAAACATTTTCTAAAGGAAAGGGAGAACCCTTCTTTTGATTTTATTTATAAAGCATAATTTCTCAGAAGCTATAGATGTTTGGGGGAAGTATCTTTGAAAAGTGATGCTTTATAGTAAGCTCTAAAAAAAAGGTAGGGGTGTGTGTTTTGTGGTTCTCCCTGGTTAGATTATAGTGTGATTGGTACTAAGTGGAGACGAATCGGTTACCTTCATTGAGCACAATTCCCTATTTTTCTGCCAGATTAATAATATTAAAACATTTGTTTCTAATGGAATTACCGTACTATTAAAGGGCTTTCTGCTTCCTCTTCCGGGCGTGGTCAGAGACATCTCAGAGGAAAATGAGTGTCTGGGACCCAAGTGACCAAACGGGGGAGAGTGCCTCTGAAAGAGCCTCATTCTTAACTGGGTGACACCTGTCAGTCTTGCTTGTCCTGTGTGTCCTCTTAGTGGAAGTTAAAACCATTTCCTGGGGTCTGGAGATTGGCATTCTTTTCGAGATTTGACCCCTTTTCACTCAGGAGGTATGTGAACTGCTTCACATATGATATGATGTTGCATGTGGTGATGATGAAATTATTCTGAGGCCTAATTAATTTGGGGTGACCCTCTGTGGGAAGGATGCAGATCAAGCCCCCGTGAAGCTGGTCAGTTTGAGCAGAGAGCTGGAGGTCAGTCTGAGCCTCCTCTGTGTTGGCCGATCTGTGCCGATGTTACTGATTGTGAACTTAAGTTTTAAAATAGAAAAGTACTAGCTTTTCTATTGAACTGTTTTCTGAATGGGTACTCTGTGATGTTTTTTGTTCTACAGAAATATTAATATGTGTTTTGACTAAATTAATACTGACAATAAAAGTGGTGTTGGGTAGGGGACAAGGGAGATTTAGTTTCATCTTACAGATAACAAGGCTTGAAATAATACGAAAAGGAGGAGGAGAAGGTGCTGCACACGTGGCTGGAACCTGGCCCGGGCCTTGCGTTCCTGCCCCTTGGGGCAGAGCCAGCAGCTGTGTCCCGCCTCGTGGCCCGGGGACCAGGGCCGTGCGTCCTACAGCTGGCAAGTGGGCTCTCTGTTTCCAAAAAACAAATCTTCGTAGAGATGAGAAAGTTGAACGTCAGGAATGAATGGTATTTTCGAAAGTACCATCAGAGAGTGAGGTCCGGAAGGTCCGGGAGCTTGGTGGTCTGGTGGAAGCAGCCTGTGCTAAGTGAGCATGCCTCTGTCCGAGGGAGCCGTGAGGGCACCCAGGCTGTGACATTTATTCCAGGTGTCGGTGTCCTCTGCTGCAGGCGGTATGGGGCAGAGCCGCCGACAGTCAGTCAAGACTCTGCTGGCTATATGGGGACGAGAAGCTCTTCACTTGCTTTCCTGGCTGGAAGTGCTGAGGGTCCATGGGACTCTGTGCTCATTTTCCAGGGCAGAAGCCTCAGGACATTGAACTAGCCTGTGAAGTGTCTCGGATGGCTGGCTTCTGCTCCCTAAACCCCAGTCTTGTGAGGAAAGCTTGTTGCTTACATTCAGCTTTAGTGAGGTAGATCACGTATTTGGGTGAGTTTCCTGTGTGTGTCGCACTGAGTGCCACACCTGTTACAGCACGTGGAGACTGGCCTTCATTGCACACTGTGGCATCACCAACTTACCCGTCCCAGTGATTCCCAGGGGACCCACCCCGAAACGTGCTTCCTGTTGCCCAGCATGGGGCAAAGCTTTCCACGTTTCCTCACACTGTCCCTGAGGGAAACACAGCTGTTCCTGTCTTACCAGTGAGAAAACTGAGGCACAGTAAGGTCACCGCCAAGTGAGGGTCAGACCTCGGGCTGCCCACAGTGGGGACTGTGTTCAGCAGGCATGATGGACACACACTCCTTGCGCAGTGTCCCCCAGGACCGACAGGAACATGGTCCCTGTCTGAGGAAGCTGCCATGCCATGGGGGAGCTGTGTCTGCAGCCAGTTCCAGAGGCACATGTGACCTGCACCCAACAGGAGCAGGATTCAGGGGGAGCGGCTCACACGCAGTCAGCTGGAGGGGCAGAGGCAGGAGGAGCAGTGATGTGAGAGGCATGGGGGACACGGGCGTGGGAGCACTCCTTAGGGAGCCTGCAGATGATAAATGTGCACCCTCAGTTCGAGGCTCCTGCTCATCTGGCAAGAGCTGGGGTCACTTTCTGGTAGTTCATTCCCTTCGGGTGTGTCTGTCTCCTTGCTTGGTTTTGGCTGAAGCAGTAAAGAATCTGAGGCCACACAACCCATAATTTGGTTAGCTCTTAGGAAATTGGGTGATAAAATGTTAAGTTAATAGAACACCTTTTACTCCTTTCCCTCTGAAGTTGGCTTGGTTGCCTATAAAGTTTGCTAGTAAACCTAAGAAGTACGCCTGTTTTGCATTTTGCCACCTCAGTGATGAAAACCTCTCCACTTCAAAGGTGCCGCAGCTTTGATACAGGGTTGTGGTCCTTTGACAGGTGCCGCACCCCTCTGGCACCAAGTGCACGCGAGATGCTCGCCCACAGCACTCAGTAGCCCTCCAGGATTGTTAGCCATCTCTGCATCGTTTGTTCATGGCTCTGGTGTTCAAAGGGTCCTGGGCATCAGTAGGGCAGGAGGACAGTTAATGTCCTGCAGTGCAGTTGGGTTGTTTGCATCCTTTCTCCTTGCGAGTAAATGTTTGGGTTTTAATCTACGTATCAGTTAAAGCCCGGGCTTCCTTACAATAGAGAAGTAACAAACACCGTGTGCAGCTCCTCGAGAAGGTGGAACTTGAACTCACTCCAGCGTAGCTTTGATAATCACGTGCATAAACAAGTCATCTTGTGTAGAAAAGAGGGGGAGATCAACCTGGACTCTGTAAGCGTAGAGCAGCTTGGTTGGCGTTGTGGAAGCACCAGCAAGTCGGACACATTGAGCAGACCCCCTGCATGAAGCCCCGCGGGTGAGGGCCCCCTGCGCCCGCGATCATGCTCAGGCGCTCCGGGAAGCACAGCTTGTTCTGGAAGCCCCGGGACTGCCCTGACGCTGTCAGGTTTCTGGTGGAAAGAAGAAAAGGCGGAGCTGGGTCTGGGTTCCTGACAGCCGGAGAATTCTTGAAGTAGAGAACACAGGGTCTTTGGGTGCTGTGGATTTCTCTGTTCATGGAGCATTGCTTTCCCAACCCTGAGCCTGGGAATTAGCTGCGCATCCAGTTTAGCCTTTTGGGTGTAGTAAAATCGTATGCCTTTGAGCCTGCAGTTCTGCGTCCTCAGTATTAATGACACTGGCTGACCTTGGCGCCCTTCTGTCTGCCAGCTTGTGTGTGCGCACCTCATGGGAAGGGGTTCATGGACACTTTGCAGCTGCACTGTGAGGGCATCCTATTATTTTTCCCCCATTTGATGAGTAAGGAAATTTTTACACTGAGGGGTCAAGGAGCCCAAAGAACCTACAACCTGGGAGTACTTGAGCGAGGATTTGAACCTCCACTGCCAGGCGCCAGAGCCAGCACTGGACCCCCAGCATCCCCAAGGGATTGTGCACAGCACAGAGGGACACGCAGGGATGCTCCGCAGGGTATGTTAAGAGCACCTCGATGGGGTGCGGGAGTTACCGATGGCCTGGACGGGGTGCTGTGAGACCGTCAGACATTTGCTAGAGCTCTATGTCTGTGTGGACTATCACCATTGAGAGACTAGAGACGAAATCACAGGTGTGGTACGGTTTCCTTTATGGATCTACGCAGAGACTTCTGGAAGGAGATTCCTTGCTGGTGTGAAGCTGCAGAAGATTTTTTAAATAATATTTTTGTAGTCTTTGGGTTTTTAAAAATTAATACGTCATTGTTGCCAAAAGGTGGGGCTATCGTCAAAAAGTAAATTCAGATGTGGGAGAAACGATTATAATAGATTTTCCAAAGTTATCTGGGCAGTTGCAGGTGAAGAGTACGAGTGACTAGGTACCATTGAGGCTTGCGAGGCAGCAGATGAGAACTGTGTGTTTAGGGTTCTGTGAGGAGCAGCTGAAGAGTTGGGGGACCCGGGATACACTGCCCCTTGCCTCGCGGGTGTCGGTCTGTGCTCTGCTGAATCTGGGAACTGTGTACAGAGGGTTTCCTCAGCCGGCTTCCAAGGACAGAGAGGGACACTGGGCCTCTCTAGTTTCTTAATTGAAGCAACACAGAATAAAATGGCGCTCAGGTCTTGTTAGCTGCATACACAGCGACCTTCTTTGGAGGTGGGAGCTGGTGGCTGCGCTCTTCCGGGAGCCTCTTGAAGTGAAAACAGCTGCAAGAGCCTTGGGGAGTTTTGCAGAAGGGTCTGTCTGTTTCTGGGGGTTTGTGTCCCACCCAGGAATAGTACCTGCCCCTCCACGGCTGGTCATCATCGTCCCCGAGCTTGTGTTTCTCGCCCGTGAAGTACCTGCCTTCTCCTCGGCCTCTGGACACTGGCTCCACCTTCTACTCAGTGTGTGGCCTCGCTTACATACTGAGATGCAAGGATGACTTTTGTCCTGTGGGTGTAAGTCTAAAACCAGTCCTGAGGTCAGGTACTTCCTCGCCCTGGGCCTGGTGCTGCCGGCCTCACTCTCGGGTCTGCCAAAGGCGAGACTCAGGAGCCGCTGGCCCGTTGCTTGCGGTTGCTTTGGCTTTGGTGGTTGTCACAGCCCTGACGAGACGCAGAATTACACAGAGCTCTTTACGCGGAAACGCTAGAAATGATCTTTCATATTGTTTTATGAAATTATAAAAATGGGATCAATGTGTGTTTGGTTTCAATAGCTACTCTGACCTACGACACGCTTCGATTTGCTGAGTTTGAAGATTTCCCGGAGACCTCAGAGCCTGTGTGGATACTGGGTAGAAAATACAGCATTTTCACAGGTATTAGCCATGTCAGAGCCTGCTGTGCTCTCAGGGCTCAGTCTATGAAAAGCATGTTGTGGTAATAATAGTTATCTGTTAACTCTCTGTAACATACGATCTACAAAGTTAAGGCTGTGTGTGTTTTCTTTTAAACAATCCCTAGAAAAGGATGAGATCTTGTCCGATGTGGCGTCCAGACTTTGGTTTACATACAGGAAAAACTTCCCAGCCATTGGTAAGTACGCCGTCGGTTACAACACATGATGGTAGATACAGGCTTTATAAGGAGGGCAAGTTGGGTGTATAGTGTTGACTTCGGTATGCTGGGCACTTGTCACTTCATCTCAGACCTCACGGCAACCCTAGTGACGTAAGCTGGCTGAGGTCTTGCGCCTAGCATGGTGAAGTTAGGGTCCAAATTCAGGACTCCTGACTCTCCCGAGGGCAGGGATTTTCCATCTGCTGGTCCTGGTTTCTTACTGGGATCTAAAATCAGGATAATGAGTTATAAGCAGCATTTAAAAGTATAGAGCAGAATGGAGTGTGAAGTCGTGTGTTTCCACAGTGAGGCAGTGTATGGCTTCAGGAGGCTTCAGTTTGTATGTCGGAAGGGTGTCCTGGGTCACGGTTGTCACAGTGTGCTTCGGACTGTAGGCCCAGGATGTTTGGAGGCCGTTGCTCTGTGTCCATCACCTTTTCTCTCGTGTCCCGCACTTAGTTGTGGGGAGAGCTGAAAGGCAAGGTGGATGTGCCATGTCTCAGCACTAATGTATGCCCCATTGAAAGTGGCTCTCCATCGTTGTGACCCTGGAGGTGGACAGTGGAGGGGCCCTAGCTCTTGGCCTTGCCTTTGCTGGTTGGAGAACCTGAGACCAGAGGGTCGGCAACAGGAGGCTGCGGCTCCCAGGTGGCGGGTCTCTGTCAGGCCCCTCACCAAGATGCAGTCACCTGTGTCCTCTGGAAGTGAGCTGGATGCGTACAGCCACAGGGCTTGACACTCAGGAGTGCCGCGGGGTAGGGAGACGAGGCCAGCGCCACCACAGGCCACCTAATGATGGGATTTGTCCGCTGTGCTCCGGGATGTCCTTTGTGCCACCCGTGCTCTGCTCCGCCCTGAGGATGGGGCAAGCCCGGGCAGTGCTGGGGGACCACCACTCTCCTGCAGGTCTCTGTCTGGACTCACAGAGCAGGGACAGGCTGAGAGGAGCCTTGTATTGTTTGGTAAAGTCACTGAGGAGGACGGTGCCTGCCGCTAAGGGCCAGCATGGTCTTTCCTTCCCTAGCCACGGAGAGATGACTAGTTTGTACGGGAGTTGTTGCCACACGTCCCGAGCACTGCTCTTTGTCTACCCCCCCGCAACCCCACTCTGCCCCTCGAGGCTTTGTCCACCCACATTTGTGGGAGGGGCTGCCCCAGGCTCCGAGGTGGTGCTGCAGGGAAATGGTGGAGCCAGCCAGGGCTGCAGCTCGCTGGGCCCTGGCGTCTCTGCTCCGCCACCGCCTCATGCCTCTCGCCTTGCCGGTACTTAGGATGGTTGGGGCTTCTCCTGTCATGCTGGGGCCTGTCCCGGACTGCACGCAGAACTGTGGTGCCCAGTGTCAGCATCCTTTTGTGCCCTGGCAGTGGGTGTGACATGAAGGGGCCCCGGAGCAAGTGTGCTTTAAGTGCTGAGGGTTGTTGCTGACCACCCCTGGGTTATGTTCCTGCCCTCCTGCATGCACGACCACTCTCCCAGCAACTGCATCTTTGCCCTTCTGGTGCTTAGAGAGAGGTCCTCCTTATTTGACTTGGAGTTTCCTAGATTACTCATGGGACTTAGCGTCTTTACATATGTTTTCCAGACATTCTTAATTCTCTGTGACTGACTTGTTCACATATTTTGCCCATTTCGAGGGGTTGGCAGGACATATCATTGCCCAGTAAATATGCCCTTGGCATGACCAGGTTCTAAATGGCCTGTCACCTGAGATGGAACTGACGCAGTGTAGGGCTGACCCAAGTGTGCTAGGGCCAAGGCCTCCTGCCAGTGGACTCCTGACCTGCTGGGCCATCTGACGGCGAGCCCTCTCTCTTTGTCCACCATGACAGGGGGCACCGGCCCCACCTCGGACACGGGCTGGGGCTGCATGCTGCGGTGTGGACAGATGATCTTTGCCCAGGCCCTGGTGTGCCGCCATTTAGGCCGAGGTAAGTCACAGCACCGGGGACGACAGCGTTTTTAGGAAGCAAACAGGACTGTGGGGTTAGGTTACCCAAAGCACACAGACTGCTGGGATCCAGGGTTTTCTTGAGTGGTGACCCACTGGTATTCGTTGATTTAAAAAAGTGACTTTAAAGAATATTGATGAACATTTGTCTTTTAGAAATTATCTTTACATCACTGAAACCATTTTCTGTCCTATAGGGATTTGTTTTGGTGGGTTAGCATATGTGAATTTGGAATCCTGGAGGATTTGGCTTTTAACTTTCGAAAGGTTCAAGAAAGGGTATCCTCTGTGGCTTGAGTGTTTCATAAACGTAAAGGCTTCTTCCTCCTCTTTTGGTAAAATTGAACTTCTGCATCTCTCCAATAGACTGGAGGTGGACACAGCGGAAGAGGCAGCCGGATAGCTACTTCAATGTCCTCAACGCTTTCATCGACAGAAAGGACAGTTACTACTCCATTCACCAGATAGGTGGGAGATTGCCGAGTGAGCCAGTCTCCACGGCTTAGAGCAGGCCGAGTCATTGGGTTCCCCCTGAGCACTTCTCTGGTATCGGGTGTGCGAGGCGTGAGGCTGTAGGTCCCTCTGGCCTGTAGCCACCCGGGGCTGCTGTCGTGGGCCAGGCCAGCTTGGACCCGGGGCCTTGCTGTGGTGCGGGGGGCCGTGTGGCCGCAGCGGTGTGTGAGCTGCTCGTCGTGGCAGCTGTGCGGGTGGGATGCCGTCTCCAGGGTTCATCCCTCTCTGCACCCATCACTAAGTCTAAATCCTCCTTTGTTTTGAGCGTCTCGTTCTCACCTACAGAAGGAAGTAAAGGTATAGCTTTGAGTCCTTTGATTTCCTCCATCTTGCTCCTTCTTGAAGGGCTAGGGCCCTGACTCGTAGTGAGGGACAAACCTTGAGGCAGCCTCTGTCCCTCTTGGAGGAGGAGTCCTGGGGTCTCTCAGGAGCTTCTGCTGGAGGCAGGGGTGGGTGTGCCTGTCCAGGCTTCCCGTGGAGTGTTCCTGCTACCACGTGCTGCTGCCACGATGGGCCTCTTCTGGGGGATGGGCGGGGCGGGGGAGGGGGGCTCACATCACTAATCCCGTCTGTTTCCTGCAGCACAAATGGGAGTTGGCGAGGGCAAGTCCATCGGCCAGTGGTACGGGCCCAACACCGTTGCCCAGGTGCTCAAGTATGTGCCAAGCCCCATGCCTCCCATTTCCTCGGGGTAGTGTGAGCATGAGCTGTGGGTTCAGACTCTCCTGAGTCTTGGTTGCTGAAGGAGATGCGGGGCCTTTTACTCTTCCCCTCACGGCCCTCCTGAGAGTCCTCAGAGGCGGCCACACCCAGTGCGCCCCTGTGTGGAATTTATGTTTCCTGACGGATGAGTGTCTTCATCCAGATGGCGCCCCCTGGATGGGGCCTCTCTGTGTCTGTCACGTGGACCCATCCACTAGGGTGCCTTTCTGATGGTCCGGGAGGTTGAAACTGTTGTGGAGTGACAGCAGTGCGGGTGTGCCGTGGGCCTCTGCCTCTCCTTCTGCGCTGACCCCACTTCTCCCTGCCTTGGACCCTGCGTCCGCAGCTGTGGCTTTCCCTCCACATCCAGACTCATGCATCTGCTGCCTGCTCCCTGTTGCCCAGGCTCCTTCCTCGGGGTGTCTGAACCCGCCCTTCTCCCCCCTCATCCCCCAGCCCGCTTCTCCTTGTTGTAGTAAAGGGCTGCCCTCTCCGCCTGGCTGCTCTTGGCAGGTTCTCTGGGATCCTCCACCCACCTTCTAGCTGATCCCCAAGCCTGCCCACTGTCTCTCTGTCCCCTCACCCGGCCCCCCCATTTACTCTCCCGAGCCCCTACCACGTGCCCCTTAGAACCCTGGGTCCAGCCCTGCATGCATTGGAAGCAGCCTTTCTGCATGGTCTGTCTCCCTGCATGGTCAGTGTGTGGTCTGCGCACGTGGTACGTGTGCGGCCTGCATGAGTCGTCTGCGTGACCTGTGTGTGCGGTCTGTGTGTGTGCCTGCACGTGGGTTCTGCTGGTATGGTCTGCATGCAGGTTCTCACTGTCCCCACTTCTGCTGTGAAGCAGCTCCTTCGAGGTTGCTGTCTATCTAGTCCCATCCCAGCGCCCGGTTTCGGTCTTCTGTTTACCCAGTTGTCCAGCAGGTGGCTCTTAATGCAGGTGTTCTCTCTTGGAAGCCCTGGGCCACACAGTCATGCCCTCTGGTCCCTGTTGATGGTCGATGGCTCCACTGTGGGGCTCCCTCCCCCCTCAGTGAGCACTGTGGGGCTGGCTTGGCCTTTGGCCGCTTCTCTTTTCTGCCAGCACCAGTGTGAGCTGTGGTCTGCATGGCACAGCTCCCAGTGTCACACCCCCAGTGCTGGTTTGTGCCCAGACCCCAGACTGAGGTCCGGATACTCCCTCAGCAGCACCCCTTAGATGTCTGAGGGGCATGTCAGCCTCACAGCCAAAGCCCACAGCTGACCCTTCTCCCCACCCTCGGCCTGTTCCTTCTACAGGGAATGCTGTCCTTCCAGGAACTCAGGCCAGAAACTGGGTTCGTGCTGGATTCCTTTTCTCAACACACCCCATCCAGACGCATGCAGACTAACCTGTGCTCATTGCCTCCCTGTCCTCACCCCGGTCCAAGCCCCATGTTCTGCCTCCTTGTTGGTCTTCCTTTTTTCTTTGACATCCTCAAGGCTCTTTTAAAATACGGAGAGGCATTGGGGCGCCCGGGTGGCTCCATCAGTTAAGCATCCGGCTCTTGATTTTGGCTCAGGTCATGATCTTTCAGGGTCGTGGGATCAAGCCCCCCCCCACCGCCCCGGCATCGGGCTCCATGCTCAGTGGGGGGTCTGCTTGAGATTCTTTCCCCACTGCTGCATTTGTGCACACAGCCTCTAAAGTAAATTGGTGAGTTTTTTTAAAGAGTATTTGAGAGAGAGAGCGTGTACAGGCGGCGGGGCAGGGGGCAGTGTGCAGAGGGGGCGAGAGAAGCGGGCTTCCCACTGAGTGTGGGGCTCAACGTGGGACTTCGTCCCAGGAGCCTGAGATCATGACCTGAGCCAAAGTCAGGCGCTTAAGCGACTGTGCCCCTAAATCAGTAAATCTTAAAAAAAGGAAAGAAAGAAAGAAAAAATAGCAGTAGGTGTCATCCTCGTAAAATACACGCTGGCCGTCCGCCCCCCCTCGACTGGGCCCGTCCTGAGGGTCCTTGCTGACTCCAGGGAAAGCTGCAGGCGCAGGCACGGCTCTGCCTACCTTCCCGGGCCTGTCTCCACTGCCTGCCCCTTGCACACACCCACCCCAGGGCCTCTGCACCTGCACCAGCCTTCCCCCAGCATCAAGGCCTCCTGCACCTGCACTGGTCGTGCCTGCAGTTACTGCTCTGTTGGTCTCCATTGTGCTCACTACCCACAGTTAACTTCTTTTTTGCCTGCCTCGTGTCTGGAATGTCAGCGTCTTGGGGCGGCTGCTTTGTCTCGTGTGTCAGTGGGTTTCAGCCCCATACCTGGCCCTCTGCAGGCGAGAGAGAGGCAGCCCGTGGAGTGTTGCATGTGTTCCTCCGCCACTTTGGCCTTCCCGTGGGGAGGGGCTTGGTGTGGTTGCCCTGATGCCCCGCGCCCTCCACGTGTGTCCCCAGACGGACCAGGTTCTCCCACTAGACCTTTTGTTGTAGTTGGCTTGTCTTTCAGAGGCTTGGGGCTTTGACCAGGGTTCTTGGGGTTGTTAAGCCACAGATTTCTCTGTGGGGATTCAAACTGCTTGTCAGTGCGTCACTTTTGGGGTGAGGTGGAGCAGAGTGTGAAGGTACCATGGGGAATGGGGGTGCTGGGCCTTCCTGAGTTGGGAGAACCCGTGGTGTAGCTGAGACAGGGTCTGTGCTCCCTTTCCCAGGACAGAATGCCCCACAGGCAGGGCTTCTGTGCGGGGACCCTGTCCCCACGTGGCAGCTGGGGTTAGTGGAAGGGGCACTGGGCCCGGGTGGGAAGAAGCAGGCGGCAGCCTCAGCTTTACTCCCGTCTGTGGCCATGAATGTCTCAGCCGTGATCTTTCTCATCTGCCAAGACTGCTGGAGCGTTCGTTGCTGTTTCCTTTGCTTGTCCCGCGGAAGTGAAATGTCTTTGAATTGTGAAGACTTACTGGTGTGTCCTCCCCCTTTCCGTTAGGAAACTGGCTGTCTTCGACACCTGGAGCGCCTTGGCAGTCCACATAGCAATGGACAACACGGTGGTGATGGAGGACATCAGTAAGTGAAGGAGAACGCGGGGGCTGTAGCTGGCGGGACTCAGGGCGCAGCTCCCTGGCCCACGGGCGGGCCTCGACGGGCGTGCAGGTTGGGGATCCCTTGTTTGCGTCCCGTGTACAACAGGCCAAGGGGAAGGACCCAGACTCTCCGCAGAGCTGGGCTGCGTTGTACCCCGACTTGCTCTGTGTCCTCGTTGCAAGAACTTGTTCAGGTGTCCTGGGTCAGCCCCTCACGGGCATCATGCTCTTTGAGGACAGGCAAGAGCAGCTTTCTAGCCAAGGTGTAACAGGAAAGGGGAGCGTAGCTCTGTCCCTCTTTCTGGAAGGATCTACTGGAAACCTGAAGGCGTCCAGGCATGCTGACGTTTTAGTCCAGGAGGAAAATGATGGCTCGGTTTGGCAAATGGCCTCTAGTGAGTGAGTTTTGAATTTGGAGTTTACATGCTGTTACACAACCAAGCTGACAAAACTCTATTTAATGTCTTAGGTTTTTGCTTAGGAATACCTTTTCCCCAAAGAATTTGCCAGAGCTCCCTCCACTCCAATTTTATTGAAGTTCCACATATTTGCTGCTGCCTTGCTTTGAATTTTACCTAAGAAAGAGCCCTTTGAGCATGCTTATCTGGGGTTTGCCTGGACGGTCGGAGGTGGGCCTCGTGTCATGACTGCAGGCATGGGCACCACGGTGGTGTTGCTCCTCGCTGCTGCCCGGCCCTTCCCTTCTTCAGCCTGGGGATCGTGACCTCGCAGAGTTGGGGGAGCCAGCCAGCCCTCCCTGCCCGCTGACCCTGTTCCCTGACCCTTTGCCCCTAAGAGCTGACAAACTAGGGACTTGCACTCAAGGAGGGGTGTTTTTCCCTTCTGCCTTCTCACGTTTTATTTCTTGAAATTTTTGCGAAACACGGGAAACTGGAAACATACAGAGAATGGGGGAGAAAACCTCTTGGAAACCGTTCCTACTGATGTGGAGACGCCGCTCCCCCTGGTGTTTGTCTGAGCAGCCCTTGCATGTTGCCAGAGCATGTCTTCTGTCGGGGACGTTACAGCCTTCTGCTGTCTGGCTGCTCATTTCCCAGTGCACGTCCGTTTCCCTTTTCCCCCAGTGTTGGGGAAACCACCTCCCTCAGGGTCGACCCAGTCACCCACCCAGCCTGCCCTCCGAGGCTGGCTTACCGGTGTGGTGCCAGGAAGGAGTGAGGGACAGGCTGCTTTCCAGAGCCTGCATTCCTGGGGGCGGGGGGGGGCGGGGGGGAGGTGCTGGTTGGGGCCTGGAGGAGACTCGGGCCGTGTGTCCGGACGCTGGCCCCTGGCTCTCGGGGTCTCAGGTCATCCATAGCAGCACTACTGGAGATGAGGCGTGGACTTGGGGCTTGTCTGAGGAGGATGTGGGTCTGTTCTGGGGAGGGCCTGGGCCTGCAGATTTAACAGGCTCCCAGGTGGGGTGTGTGTGGCCGCCCAGCCATGGTCAGGGCCCTGGGGTTCTCCCCTCCTGAGTCAGAAGTGATGCGTGCTCTTCACGGGGACAGCTCAGGAAGAATAGCATCAGTACACCACCAGCAAGGACGCTGGGACCAAAAATAGTGCCTGGGGTCCTGTGCACAGTTTAGTGAGGTGAGTGGTAGATGGTGGGGAGTCTGAATGGCTGTGCTAACTGCTTTTGGCTTTAGGGGCCCCAGGGGGTTAGAGGGGACACCAAGGCCTCAGGCAAGGCAGGCAAAGAGCCACTTTTATAGTCGCGGCTGCCCCGGGTCGCAGGTGTGGGAGAGAAAGCTCCAGTTCACCAACTCAAATGGAGAACCAATACTGGCCAAGCCAGGGCTGTCTGGGTCTCCAGAGCTGCTCCCTGGCAAAAGCGCACCAGCTTTCCGCCTTCCCTGTCCATTTCGGCGGCAGAGTACTCTGCGGGGGAGCCTTGCTGGTGGAGATGTGCCGCCCTCTTTGGGGGACCAGCCAGGACCCCCCCCCCAGAGCAGCCTCCGCCGGGGCTTGCCCTGGATGAATTTGGAGCTTTGTGAGACACTGGGAAGGCACTGCATCTGGGGAGGACTCACAGGTCGAAGAAGACAGCGAGACAGTGCACACGAAGGTACGCCACAGAAAGACCCTGGCGGCAGAAATAAAGCAGAGGTGCCTGTCGTTGGAACTTCCAGGAGGTGAGGATGGGGTGACCGCGAAGGGACGGGCAGCCAGTCTCCCTGTGCCCGAGCCGGAGTTTTCACAGCTGAGCACCTCCCAGTTTTTTAACCAGGGATTCTTCAAATACTCGTGTTCCTAGTGACACTTCCAAACTGCAGAGACGGACACTTGGAAGTGTCCGGAGGAAAGTGGTGGTGGTGATAAGCTGCCGTTGAAGAGAGGCGGTCCGCTGGCCCGGCTTCTGTCGGGTCCGCTGCCGTTGAAGAGAGGCGGGTCCGCTGTCTCGTCTTCCTGCCGCAGCAGGTGCTGGTGGGGCCGGGGCAGCGTGCTGAGGAGGTGGCACGCGGTGTGGAGCTCTTGTCGCGGATGAGCTCGGAGAGAGCTCACGCATGGTGGGGATGTGAAGGGAGCATGACCGGGGGACCCGTGGGTGCCTGGACGTTTGCCATATCACAGGCCACATGCAGCCTCAGTGAGTCCCTGAAGTGCTGTGTGACAGGCCCGGCTTCTGTCATTTCTCGAGCCGATCCATGTGAGGGTCTGTGCTAGGATGCAGTCAGCAAGTAGTCCCCCCACCCCCGTTCTTCATTTTCCAACTCTGCATTTTGAGAAATTCCAGTCCCATGTTCATGCAGCCGTCCTCCGTCCTGCGTCCCCAGTTGTCGGCCATCAGCTCACCTGCTTCCCTGCTGCTCGGCCGCCCTGGCCCGCCCTGGCCTGTGGTCGAGGGGCCGGGGTTGTATGTGGTTGCCACACCTGTGCAATCTTCTCTGATCTGGAAAGTTCTCCTTGGTTTATTTTCCTGCTTTTTCATGGCACATTTTGAAGAACCCAGGCCAGTTTGGTGCAGTGCCCCACACTCGATGTATTTGCTTCATCAAGATTAGATCGGGGGAAACCTCTTGGCGGTACCTGGTGGCTGTGTCCTCAGCACCACAGCCGGAGGCCCGTCAGTAACACTTCCTCGGGTCACCTGCTCGGGCCGTGTCCCTGCTTCCCTATGATTAATGGGGATCCAGGGGTGATACTGAATGTGTGTTGAGGATTTTTGCCTGGAATGGTGGCTTCTGTAACCATCCTTCCCTTTGGGTTTACTGGCTGGCAAGGTGGCTGGCCCACCTTGTCCTTTCTCTGCCCCCGGCCAGGGATCAGCGGTTTCTGAGGAGTCCTGGTTCCGTTTAGCGGGGAAAGGTGTTCAGAAACCACGGTCTGGGCGCCTGCTGGGCTGGGGCCCCTGGAGCGTCCCTGTCCCCACCACCAGCCTCCTCGGTAGCACACCGATGAAGGATTAGCAGTGCGCTTAGAAGAAACAGGTTGTCTCCACGTTGACAAGGGAGGAGCAAGGCTGTTTCCCGATGGCGTCCCTGGTGTGGGGCCAGTGCGTGTGCCCAGCTGCGTGGCGGCTGCCCGGGACGCACGGCACTGTTTGTTTCACTTGAGACGTCATTTCACGACAATTTTAAATTGGACATGCGTAGAAAACGATTGGTTCTTTTTTTTTCTCTGTGGGCGGCAGGACTTATTTTCCAGGTTCGGACTGTGTTAAGCGCTTGACTTTTTTATACTCGTTCCCTATGACTGAGTAATGATGTACTTGTTCCTTTTGGGTAAACTTCTGTCTGCTGCTGTTCAGCCCTTGAAAGCATGTCTCTTTTTCAGGAAGGTTGTGCAGGGGCAGCCTTCCGTGTGCGGGAGCCGCCGCGCTCCCCCCGGACTCCAGCCGGCACTGTAACGGCTTCCCTGCGGGAGCTGAGCTCACCAATAGGCCGGCACCGTGGAGACCCCTGGTGCTTCTCATCCCCCTGCGCCTGGGGCTCACGGACATCAACGAGGCCTACGTGGAGACCCTGAAGGTGGGTCTTCTCGCTGACCAGCAGGGGGCAGAGATTGTGCTGTTTGTTGTCGCCATGTCGGCCCCTTCTGCCCTCTGGCCCCCTGTGGACTCCTGGCCCCCACCTGCCTGCCTCCGGGCAGTCCTGACCGCCTCTCCCACTGGCCTTTGCGCTCACTCTGCGGTCTCTGCTCTTCCTGACTAAGCTCTTGGGGACCACGTCTTCCCACTCTCCTTTCCCTGTCACCCTGTCGGGCCCTGGGGTTAGCTTCCCGCAGCACACAGACTCATGGTCGGGTGGCCTGCTCAGCTGCCCTGCCTTGCCCTCTGTCCTGCAGCGCTGCTTCATGATGCCCCAGTCCCTGGGAGTGATTGGAGGGAAGCCCAACAGTGCCCACTACTTCATCGGCTACGTTGGTGAGTGGTGCTTCTGCGGGCATGTGAGGTCAGCCAGAAGATGAGGGAGAGGGAGTCCTCTGCAGAGCAGTCTAAACATCCTTAGGGTGTTGGCTTGACCCAGGGTGTCCAGTTAAAAAGCAGCATGCTCCCGTGAGGGGTCAGTGTCCCCACCTGGCTGGTGCCGGCCTCCTGTGGACCCTCTTCTCCCCAGCAGTCGGGTTCCCACCCCAGCCTGGCGTGTCCAGCTAAGTGGATTTCTGTGTGGCGCATCTGAGTGGGACCCCGGTCTGCTCCCTTTCCGCTGAGTACCCCGTCGTCTTCCCCAGGTGAAGAGCTCATCTACCTGGACCCTCACACGACGCAGCCAGCGGTGGAGTTCACCGACAGCTGCTTCATTCCGGACGAGAGCTTCCACTGCCAGCACCCGCCGAGCAGGATGAGCATCGGGGAGCTCGACCCGTCCATTGCCGTGGTACGTCCCCCACTGCGTCCTGCCTCCTCCTCTGACCATGTGAGCTAGTGGGCAGGTGTTCTGAGTCGGTCTGTGCTCAGTCCTGCTGTTCTGGAATGGAAGGGAAGGGTCTCTGATTTTTAGGATATTTTTTTTTTCCCAGTGTTTTGGAGTAGGTATCACATTCACGTGGTTTCGAGTGCCTAGAACACAAAAGGGTTAACAATGTCTGTTAGCTACTTACGCCCACCAGGGGCCCTAGCCCATGTGGCCCTCATGGCCCTCACAGCGAGCGGCCCCCTTGAACATAGTGGCAGTCTGCCCCACTCCCTGCTCTGCACCACCTTTTTGGGGTTTTGGGTTTGACTTTCAGTTTTTTGACTTCAGGGATCTGGGAGATGATTGCTAAGAATAAGCTTCTTTGCTCTGATTACAAGGTGGAATTTTAGGCAGTGATTTATGTAAACCTATGTATTCTCAAAATGCATTTGATGGGGATGGGGGGGTCAGAAACATCTGGAAGGAAAGGTGTCCCTCAGGGAGCGATTAACTGAGTCACAGATAACAAGGCAGATCCCGGTCCTGAAACAGACCTCTCTGGACGCGCGGTCTGTGGGTCTTGTTGCGTCCTGAGGTTGGTGGCCGGGGAAGCTGCCCGAGGGTGGCGGGGTGTGGCTGGAGTTGGAGGGTTGAGTCCCCGTCCAGCAAGCGCGAGGCACGCTGTGGCAGTAAGCGCGTCTCCATAGGGGACTGGGGCTGGTGCTCGTGTAGACACAGAGCAGCCTGGACCGCAGTGCCGTCCGCAGCAGGCGCGCAGACGCGGGGCGGAGAGGCGTGACCCCGTCCTCACCTGAGAGAAGAGGGCTGTGCGCGGGCTCCTCAGGAGAAACCAGCTTCCCGTCTTCCAGCGGAACGTTGCCCGTGTCCTTTCGCCAGAGCCCGGGGCAGTGTGGATGGTCTTCGCAGTGAGAGCGGGCGCCCATTCCGTGATCATACCTGTAGTCCTGGCGGCGCCTGGAGCATCTAGTAACGTGTCCAGGCGTCGGAGCTTCGTGGGGATGGCTCTAGGAGCGCGCCATCGCCACTGACTCTCCGCGGGACCCAGGGCTCCCTGCGGCTAGGTGCCACTGGGTGGGAGGCCCACATTTGAGTTGTGCCATGCACTGTGGGTCCTGGTGGCCTGTGCCAGTGGCCAGGCCATTAACCTGCACATGGCCTCCATGGCCTGGTCGGTCAGGGCAGAGGGCGGAGGGTCGAGCCGTGAACCCAGCCCCCAGAGGCGGGCGGAGACCCTGGCCTCTCTCCAGGCCACCTTGCACTGCACGCCGCACCGGAGTGCGGCCTGTTTGTGCGCCTTGCCACGTGTCGCTCACGGTCATTTCTGTTCCAGGGGTTCTTCTGTAAGACTGAGGACGACTTTGATGACTGGTGCCGACAAGTCAGACAGGTGGGTGGCGGGTCCCCGCGCGTGGGGTGGGAGTTGGGGGAGGGCCGTCTTGGGGTCTCCAGTTTGGGGTCCCGCCTCCCTCGGCACCCTGCACACAGCTTGCACTGTGGCTTATGGCATTGACCTCATCGTGTGTAGAGAACACAGGCACAGACCTTGCTCGTGAGCCTTCGGGGGGGGGGTGGGGTGGGTTTCAGGTTCGTCAGTGTTGTGGCCATGACCTTGAGCGGAGGCAGCACACGGAGTTGCTCCCAGGGCTGCTGGTTTGCCGCCCTCTGTGTGAGCAGTCGGAGAGACCTGACGATGCAGAGACCTGACGATGCGCAGACTCGGCAGAGGCCTGAGAGCCTTTCGTATGGAGGCTGCCTCCCCTTCCTCCTGTGCGGCTCCCCCCCACCCCCCCCGCGGGCAGTGCTGATCCCTGGGCGGGGGCGCTAGGCTGTACCCCCGCTGCTGTGTCTCACGGCTGCGTCGGCCGACAGGTGTCGCTGCTCGGAGGCGCCCTGCCCATGTTTGAGCTGGTGGAGCAACAACCTTCGCACCTGGCCTGTCCCGACGTCCTGAACCTGTCCTTAGGTGAGTCTGGAGGCCACAGGGCCTTGTCTCGGGTGGGGGCATGGCTGTTCCGCGTGTGGTGTGGTCTGTGCATGTTCTGTCTTGTCTCTCTGCTTCCCCCAGGCCCTGTGCCAATTGCTTTTGGCCTTTAAGATTTGTATGAGCCCAGGATGTGACCCTTTGGTGGTGTGTTTGTGGGACCGGGGTGCTGCCGAACAGCCTGTGTGGGGCTCCGAGTGGGCAGCGGCACAGTCTGCTGCCTTGTCCTTCACCTCATGCGCCATAACCTGGCCCCCAAGCATGGAGCTGGGTGTGCTCCTCACGCGGCCGCCTGGGCCCCTGTGAGCCAGGACGTGCTAGGCTCTCCGCGACAGCCCAGTGTCTCTGCGAGGTCTGGCACAGGAGCCAGCCCTGGGATGGCAGGCCACAGGTGGGCTCCGTGTCCTGCTGCTCAGTGGCTCTAGGCCCAGGGCCTCCTCCCTCACTCAGGCCCTCAGTTTCCCTGAAGTGAGTCAACGTGTGGCACACGAGAACTGGGACTCAGAAGGAAGGCCATGAGCACAGTTCATGCAGCCATCTGTCTCTGGGACGATGATGAGGCCCGTGTCCCTGTCCCTCCGAGAAGATCATGGAGGATGGTGACTGAGCCAGTGTCTAACAGAAACCAGAAGGGAGTCAGGGTGCCGCATTGGAGACTCGGGACAGATGTCCCATCAGTTCCCAGACGGTACAGGGGGTGCCACCCCCTCTTGGGACGGGAAGCCCTGCCCTCCCAGCCCCTGCCCCTTTCCTCTGGGCTCCGCCAAGAAGCGTGTTCTCTTTTCAGACGCGCCCGTGGGATTCTCTTCCCTGCCCTCCCCTCACCAGTTGAAGCTCCTGGCCTGCCGAGACCCACAGCCCGGGAGGCCAGTGCCCCAGCGGGCCGGGCCTGGTGTCCCACCTCCTGCTGTACCGAGGGCCAGATGCAGGGTGTGGGGGGCGGTGCCTCTTCGTCCCCACAGCCCGGACACCCCACGCCAGGCGTCTGGTGAGGTGTTGTCTTGTTTCTTCTAGACTCTTCTGACGTAGAGCGACTGGAAAGATTCTTTGATTCAGAAGATGAAGACTTTGAAATCTTGTCTCTTTGAAAATCCTGGAGTTGGGGGACGGTATCCACTGGCCCTCCCTGGGGGCACCTTCGAGAGCCCGGCCCTGCCTCGGGGCGCTTGGCGCCGCCGCATTTCATCCATCCAGCCTGCCCGTCCGCTGAATGCCTGTGCCCCGTGCCGCCTCCGCCCGCAGACGGAGGACTGCCCTGTCCCGGAGGCCTTCCTGCGAGCCCCAGGGCTGCGCAGGCCTGGAGGGCTCGTCGGGCTCCCGGGCACAAAGGAGGAGCCGCCCGCGGGAAGCCCTGCGCAGCCGGTCAGGAGCTCCTGAGAGCAGAGCCTTCCACACTTCCCAGAGCTCTCCCTGCGACACTGCCAGCCCTGCACTCGCCTCTGCCCTGCTTCCCCCTGGGCGCTCGGTTCTGGGTTTGCTTGTTTGAAGTTACAAGGACATGCATTTCTGTGGGGCGTGTCCCTAGCCAGTCTTCTCCGAAGAGCTGCAGGGCGGGCGTGTGCGGAGTGGTGCCTGTGGACTCAGCCTGGGCCCTGCTCTCCGCGGCCTCTGCCCGGCGTGCTGGTCAAGGGCTACCTCAGTGGGGGATCAGACTGAAAGAATTCTGGCAAGGTTTCTCCTTGCTTTGGGGAGCAAAGTAGTGAAGTGGTGGGCGTGGTGGAAATCCAAAGATGTCACCGAGCGTGCATGTGACTCGCTAGGACAGGGACATGCCTGCTCTCCCGGAGCCGCAGGTAAAGCCCGAGTGGGATGCGCCTTTCTCACGCCTCCTTTGCGGGCCCCGCGTGCTGCCGCTTGCTTGTCGCACCAGCTTCCCCTGGGTCAGGGGTCTGTGGCCCTCAGTCCTGGGGGGAGGGGGCGCGGCACGCTGCCATCCAGGGCCTTCCTCCCGGTCACCAAGGCTTTAGATGGTTTGGGGCCAGAGGGTAAATAAAGCCCACAGCTTGAGGCGTGAGCCTGGCGCCCCCATCCCTCTGTGCACCAGTCAGACGTTTCCAGACCCTTGTCAGCACTGACGTCAGCACCTGTGGCCTTTAGCCCGCGTACTCGAGGCCCAAACTGCATCACTCCCGCCCGGGTTTGCCGTCCGTCCTGGAAGACCGGCTTCTGTCCCACCGGCAGCGTAAAGGGGCTCTGGGGGGCTCGGGTGGAGGCGATGGCCTCTCCCAGAGCGCCTCCACTCGCAGCCTCCTCCAAGGCCTTGCTTGCGCGGGCGGGCGGGCGGGCTGGCGGGGCTGGAGCACACGTCTGCCCCGGGCCTGCTCGTCCTGCCGGCCCACGCGTTGCCCCCGTAAGCGATTTTCTTTTTCCCTTCTGTTTCCTGCACCCTGTCCGTGAGGTCAAGTTGGGGGAGCAGGGAAGGTTGGCTGGTGTCCACTGCTCCAGCGCTGCATTTCTCTGAACGAACAAATGTGCCGCCACGCCGCGGGCTAGGGGCCGGGGGGGTGTTGGCAGCCCCTGCAGCTGGTACAAATTGGGGACATGGGCGACGGCCTGACCCACAGGGAGCTTTGTCTCATGTGTTTTGAAAAAGGCTTACTGAAGAGAATGTCGTTCATTCTTTGTAGTGTAGTTTGCAATTCTTAATGGCAAATAATAAGTTTCAGTAGAAAACACTTGGTTGTCTGTGTCTTGAATTCTCCTCACTTTCTAGGTGGATGTGGGAAGACGGAGCAGGAACGTTGCCTAGGCTCCTGCTGCCGGGGAGGGGGGGCTCCGGGGTTGGGGCTCGCGGGCGGCTGCGGCCTGCTCATCGCCCCAGACCCATGCCACGGCCCACCCAGCCTGCGAGCGGTGTTGCTGTGCTCGGCCTCGTGGTCCCAGAAGTGAGAACCACAAGGGAACGTGCTTTTAGAACACACAGTAGCTCCTCCGACAAGAAGCCTTGTAGAAAGCGTCCCCAGCGCGGTGTTAGCCTTAGTTTGCTTTGTGAAAGCAGCGTCCCTCCAGGTGGGCTGAGACTGCTAGCCGCGGGCAGGCACACGCAGGACACGGGCAAGGCCCGGGGTGGGACGGCCGGGGGTGCCCCCCAGCCTCCGGTGCCGCTGCGAGGGGCCCGAGGCGGACACGAGTGGGAAGCACCGAGCTGATCCCCAGCTGAGGAAGTCCACCTGCATCGCGGCGTCTAGAAAATGCCCGTGGGACCTTCTTGTGCTGGAGCCATTCTCCACACTCAGCAGCTTCAAGCCACAGCCTTCCTGTCAGGATCCCGGAGGCCGGGGCTCCAAGTCAAGGTCTCTGCAGGGCTGTTTCCTCCTGGAGGCTCCGGGGGACAAGGTTTACCCCTCTTCCCCGCTTCTGGAAGCTGCCCACATTCCCTGGGTGCACGGCCCTCCTTCCACCTTGAGTGCCCTCCAACCCAACCTGCTGCCACCAGTGTCCCTGACTAGGGCTCCTGCCTCCCTGCCAGAGACCCTGTGGCTGCGTCCCGGGCCTCCCCGGACGAGGCGGCATGGCCTCTCCACCTCGCTGTGCAGGCGCCCTGTCCCCAGGCTCCAGGACGACCGCGGGTCCATCTTCAGGGACCGTTACTACGCCCACGCCCGTGCAAAAGCCACTGGAGCCGGGGGCTCTGGACCGTGTCACAGCCTGTAACCCTCCCCGCCCACCCCCGGCCCCCGTTGGCCAGATGTCTCAAGACACATGCTGTATTTTCCTGAAGAGAGTTTAAGTGTCGGACCGTTTTTGCCCCCGTCCTGGCCCCGCCGCCCCCCACCTGCGGGACCCTCTCTGCTCCGGGTGTTCCTCCCGAGGACGTTCCTTCCATCTCTGGCCCCACTGCCCCGGCTCGCTCGCCCCCCCGCCGCCCCCCTGCCGCAGCAGCCCTGACGAGGCTGCAAGAGGCAGAGAGGCTGGTTTGGGGTCTTAGGACTTCAGGCTGCCTCGCGTTTTCCTCACAGGGTGCGTGGCCTTGGTTGTGTGAAGAAGCACAAAGGCGGTTACGGACAGTGCTGTCGGACCGTCCCTGTGGGTGACCCCAGGGCTCTAGTTGAACCCCGTGTGCAGTTCTGATGGCTTCTGTCTCTCCGTGGCGGGTCCTCGGGCCCTGACCACACGTGTGCTGCCCGGTCTGGGTGCACGGCCGTCAGCAGGACCGCAGGAGCTGCTGGAGTCCCCTCTGTAAGCAGATGACACAGAACTGCGTTCCACGACTGTTCCCTCGTGGCCTCACTCAAGGCCACACAGCCACCAGCCATGCTCACCTGTCACGTCCTTTGCCCCCTTTTGAGGTGCCACCCAAGGACTGGGACCGAGGGCTGGCTGCCTAGTGACCAGACAAGCACGGACCCTCGTGGCCGCACGCAGGCTCTGCCCGGGCCCCGTCACCACCTGGCGTTCACGCAGAGATCACATCCCAGCCACAGGAGAAGGCAGCTGCCCCTCCAGGTGGGAGGATCCAGACCCACTGAGTGGACGGGGGTAGCCCTGCCGGCCCTCCGTCCAGCACTCTGCACTGCTTTCCACTCCGGATTCTCCCAGAAGTCAACAGAGCACTCCGAGTGGCTTCAAACGGGGCAGACTGAAAACACAGCGAACAGCCGAGCCTGCGTCTGCAGCGTTGAGGCTGGACAGGCCCCCTGCCCCTGCGACGCAGCCCCTGCCCGCTAGGAAGGACTCTCCGTCAAGCCCACGGCGGCTAAGGAAAGCGAGAGCTTCTGCGGTACCTTTTCAAATGAATTTTTATTAGTGCCTGTAAGAAATGCGGGACAATTTTAACTGACTACCATTTCACTGAAACTACCTGCATGTGTGTTAAATTTCCATAAGAAAGCACAAAACACAGTAATTTACTGGTATCTTGGGGGTGAAGGAGAGGACAGAGGACAGCGGCGGCACAGCCCTGCCCGCACGGCGCCCCGGGCACACCCTGCCGGCTCCTGGGGGGCTGACCCGCGGCTGCTTGTCTCTGCGTCCTGCTCCGTGAGTGCGGCGTCTGGGCGTCCACGTACCCCCGGCTCAGCCCCGCGGGACCAGAGGAGGGGGCGCCGCATGGCTACTTCCACAGCTCCCCCAGCGGCCTCTGTGCGGCGGCCTGGATGGTGTACACACAGAGGGCGTGGATTTCCTTGTGGACATCTTCGATGCTTTTGGAAGCGTCGACCATCTGTCCCGGCGGGGGAGACAGGAGGAAAAGAGAACCGTTAACGCTTGTCACTGTTCTGTGTGTGGGGATTTCTGGTGGGGCTGGGTTCCAGAGGGTACGGTACACACTCGGGTTCTTCATCTTACACCTTAGTCTGACCTTTGCCCTTGGCTGGGGAGGGTGGCCTCTGCCTGTGTCCTTGGGATGAAGCCGACCCACGCTCATGCTGTGGCCCAGATACAGAGAAACACCCAGTCTTGCTCCTGATCAGACCCTCTCCCTCCCCCCGCCCCCGCTCATGCCAGCGCGCGCGCGTCAGTGAGGCGCCCTCCCCACCCCGGCCAGTGGAGCTCTGACCTCTGCAGGGGAGGCAGGAAGCGCCCCCGCCCCTCCCCCAGGCCATGCCCAGATGCTGCTCGGAGCTCAAGGAAGCTCTGCACAGAAGCCAACCTGGGTCTGAATCCTTTCCTCCTGGGGAAGATGGTTTAGTCCTGACCCAGCTGGGCTGCTCTCCCCCTCAATGTGTTGATGCTGTGCCCTCACGTGAAAAGCATGAGGACCTCCGGTCACTAAGGGAGCCAGCCACCCGAGAAACTGCTCTCCGCCCGAAGCAAGGGAGACCAAGCTGGACAGAAGCTTCTGTGTGCTCAGGGGGGTGCCCTGTCTCACTGCCGGTCCAGGCTCAGCCCTGATGGGGCCTCTGGGGCAGCCAATTCTGGAGGAGCTGCGGGGGGTGTAGACTCACTCAGACGCGTGTATGACCGTTCCGTGAGGTCTGACTGTGCGGCCCAAGACTGCATGTACGCTCGCACACAGGCGTACTCCGCACGCGCATTACATACAAACTCGCACACGCGGATACTACACATGCACACGTTACGTATGAACTCCCACGCAGGCATATCACGTAGAAACCACATCTCCAGTCCTCTGAGGGCCTGGGAGCAGTGACAGCACCGAGCCAACAAGCACCTGGGCCCCTGCACACAGCTTTAGAATAGCTTTCTCCACAAGACAGGAGCACGGAAACCTGGGGAAGCAGCCGATTCCAGAGCAGGGCGGGAAGCGTACCGGGTGAACCCAGAAAGTACTAATGTGCTGGGGAGCAGTAAGCGTCCCAAAGTGCAGAGACCCGCGAGAAGGTAACAGGAGCTGCCAGGTGGGGTGGTGGGGCGGGCAGCACAGACCGAGGTAAGTCAAACAGAAATACAAATCCGTACAGAGATGAACGTACAGGTAAACTGAAAATCTGATGAGCTGTGAGGTTTTTACATGGTTTATAAAAACCTCATCACAAAATACTCATTAATTACACAAGGAGAGAGAGTGACGTGACCGTGGAGAAGCCTGGCAAACACCACTGAGCCAGCACGCACACAGTGGGGCGTCACTTGGCCATACAAAAGGATGAGCTCTTGCCGTCGGCAACAACACGGGTGGCCCGAGACTGCGTCACTTTCCGTGAACTAAGTCACACAGAGCAGGACGAATACCGCAGGATTTCACTTGTATGTGGAATCTAACACAAAACAAATAATCGCACAAAGAGCAAAATCAGACCCATAAACGCACAGGGGGGGAGGGGAGGGAGGTGCCGCTTGCAGTTATGGAGCGAGTACGTCCCGGGGATGGAAGGTGCAGCACGGCGACCGCCGTCAGTGATCCCGTGATAGCGTCATGTGGTGACAGGTGGGGCCACACGTGTGGCGAGCCCAGCATAACGTACGCTCCTGTCCAGTCACTCGGCTGCACACCGAAACTCCTCTAAGCGTGCGTCAGCAGCACACAAATAAAAATCAATACCCCGAAAAATGAACATCCCCAGAAGTGAACAAACGGAAATCCTACCCACATGGCAGGACGCAGTGAGCACCCAGCCTCCCTCCAGGCCACCCTGCCAAAGACGCACGTGAATCCCATCATGGGGAAACAGCCAAGTCCATCTGAGACTCATCTACAAATCAAATGCTAATGAACTTCAAAAGTGTCCGTGTTGTGAAAGTCACACAGGCTAGAGACCAGAGATGGGACTGTACAGACTGTACACTGGGTCATTTGTTAAAAAGGACACCAGTAGTGGGACCAACGGGGGAACCTGAACGGGGCCTGGGGACCTGGGGGTAGCAAGGGATCTGCGTTAATGTCCTGATTTTGACAGTCCATGGCAGGGAGGGGGCATTAGAGACTACTTTGTTAAAGGTTCCAGGGAAGAGTTTTTTTGTATTGTACTTGCAAGTTGTAACCTTTTTTTTGTTATTGTTTAAAAATTTTTTCAAAGAATGTTAAAAAAGTTAATTTTCAGATGAACAAAAGCTGAGAGTTCTATGCCAGGAGACCCACCCTACAGGAAACGTTAAAAGACGTTCTTAAGCTAAAGGAAGTGAAATGAGATGAAAAGTGGGGAGGTTCGGGGCGGAGAGCGCCAGCACTGGGCGGCAGGAAACGGTTTCCTGTTTCTTTCCCCACTCCCATTCCTGATTTCATACCTTCTTGTCTTGTTCCCTGCAGGGTTTGAAATGTGTTATAAATCCAGAATAGTTTGAAGCCACATAGAACTGACAAAGGAAAAACAAAGGGAACAGAACTTAGCAATTTTTCGTATGATAAAATCAACCGGTAGAAAAATGGGATTCAAGTTTCCATGTGGGCAAAGAAGTGCCCTTCTCAGACCATGAGACAAGCCGTGTGGGCTCAGCACTGACGTGAGCACATGAAACAGATGGAGAGGCCGTGGGTACGCGGGCGTCCCCTGCTTTGTGAAAGTTTGTTACACCACTTTGCTTTTGTGAAAGATTTATGTTAGTACCTGTTTTTGCTAACCGAAGGAAATCCAGAAAGTGTTTTTGCTCTTACAAAAAAAAGGCGAAAAGCAAAAATAGCATTCTGTGCCGGTTCTGCAGCGAGTCGTCCCAGGGGCAGCGCGCACCCCCCGCCCCCAGCTCCTTCCCGGGAGCCTCTCTCGGCATGTTGGCGTCCAGCCGCCAAGCTCTGAGCTGTGTCTGGGAGCATCTGGGCTTCATCTCCATTGATTTTGTGCGTCTGTTAGCAAGATGTGTCACAAAAGCCTAGGAAAGGTGGTTTTTTGGGTCTGGAAACATTAAAAAACATTTCCATATAAATTAATGGTAATTGCTTCTTTGCTTTATGCCATTTTCGCTTATGAGAGGTTTCATAGGAGCGCTGTACTTTTAGCTAGTGGTGAAAACCCATACTTTAAAAATACGTGTGCAACCTACGCCACAAAGGTGCCCCCCAGAGGAGCCCCCACCCTGGCAACGAGCTAGCATAAGTCAGTGTGGAGAAGTGGGGAGGGCCGCGGACAGGCAGGTCACGGGAGAAGCATCAAACAGACAAGACGGCCAAACCAGGAGCCAAAGCCAACACCCTTAAACCTTGCCCAGAGCAGCAAGAGTGCAGCCTGTCTCGGGAGTGAGACTTGTCAGCTGTCAACGTTGTCAGCTTGTTCGTTGCCAGGGGCGGCCTCTGACCACACGGGGACAAAGGTGGGCCCAGGCGACCAGGTGTGTTCACACGAGGTGGGTCTGGGGATGGGTGCGTGCAGGGTGGCAGGGGGAAGGGGCCAGCTTTGGTGTCCATAGGGAGGACAGCAGACGGTGCTTCAGGGAGGGAGATGTGAGGCTGGCCCCTGGGATTGGGGCCGGGCCCTGGGTGAGGTGCCCTTAGACGGAGGGAGCAGGGCTGCGGGACACTGAGCAAAGGGAGACAGGGAGCTGGCAGAGTGTGGAGATGTGGGGGACGGGAGCCTGCGGGAGAGGCCCAGGCCTGGGAGTGAGCGTGGAGACAGGGGCTCACCCCATGAGAGGAAACGAGGAACAGCCCCGGGGCTGGAACTGGCAGGAAAGGGTTGAGAGGGAGGCAGCAAACGACTCCCAGGGGGTGGTGGCCGAGCCCCAAACCATCCCAACTTTCGAGGAGATTGGGGGCGGGGGGGGCCGACAGACACATCGAGCCAGAGTGCGACTTGTAGGCTACAGATGGGAGGCAAAGTGAGGAGTGACTCACGGGCTGTGTGTTCTAGATGACAAGCCCGGCAAAGCCCGGCGGAGGACGGCGGAGGACGGCTGGCCACGCGGCACTGCTGTTTGGGAGCTGCTATCTGGCAAACTGTCCCCAACTCACCCACCAGGCCCCAAACGCCCTTGCTTTGCACACTCACGAAGGAAAGAGTTTGCTCCGCCTGAGAGGCGCGCCCCAAGGCTCTGCTGGGTGGAGCAGTGCTCGGCTGACGTCTCTGCTCAGTAGCAGGACTCTGAGCCATTTTCCGGCAGCTCCCAGTTGGCCATTCTGGAGGCGCCGGTGGAAGACGCCCTCACCTTCCAGTTCAAAGTCTCATCTGCCATCAGCTGGTGGAAGCGGCGCAGCGCCCGCTCCTGGAAGTCCCCGCTCTCGTAGCGCTCACGGCCGAACTCCCCCCGCACGGCAGCCTCGGCCAGCCGCAGCTGAAGGAACACCACCAGGTCCGGCTTGGGGAGGCCCACGTCTGGCTGCTTGCACCAATCCAGGGAAAAGTTCTGGCAGCACAGAACCCAACAGTTAGAGAAAGAAGGCTTAATGGGGTCTAATGTTTAGTTTCAAAATTCATAAAAGGGTAAAAAATGAGCTAATCCCCGTCTGACATACCAAAAATTGAGAATTCTGTCGGCCCCCACAGCCCCCCAGCAGCAGCACATCAGGAGGACGTGAGGGAGCCAGTCCGGGGCGTGACGGTCACTTTCCCTGTCCTCCTCTACAGATGGAATCCCGCTGACCAATCCTTCATAGCGCAAGTGTCCTTTCAGAAAGATTCCAGCCAGCGCCCGAGGAAGGACGGGCAGAATCAGAAGGTTATCACTTTGCAACCCCTCGTGAAGGAACCATCAAGGGCTGTTACCACAAACGAGACAGCCAGATGCCCTGCGGCTCTTGACAGGGGAGCCCAGTGCTTCTTCAAGTAGCCGCCCCAAAATAAAGTTTTAAAAAATTCTAATGCACAGAAAAAAGGATCTGTATTTTAAAAAGAGATTTAAGAGACACTTCAAGTATGGCCCTGAAATGGATTCTGATTCAGTCTAACTGTAGAAACACAAGACAAATCAAATAGTTTCTAACCGAACTGGCCACTTTGCACACAGACCGAATGACGGTATCTCGAAACACCTGCTGTCTGAGGCGACGTGATGTTTGTAAGAAGTCATTTTTGGGATGTGAACTGAAATGTTGGTGGAGGAGCCGGTGATGTGTCTGATGGGTCCGAGACGAGACCAGAAGGCTCTGAGACAGGTGTTAGTGCTGGTGGTTTATCGTTTTCTCTGCTGGTATATATTTGAAAACTTCTAAGTAAGAAGCAGAACAAAGCGGTAGCAGAGCTACCATACCCCTAGATCGACAGCTCCACGGCACGGGGAGGCTGGGAAACCGCACAGAAGGCGCCCAGACACGCACCATCTGCTCTGAAAACAAGACACTGGATGGAGGAGCGCTGCTGAGCGACCACCTTGGGAAAGGGAGGTGGTGACATCCAAGTTACCCGACAGCAAAGCTGCGGCTCCAGAAACATCTGCTCTTCCTATGGTACACAGCAAACTAACCAAGCAAAGAAGAATCCTAACACTCCACACACTCCTGAGTCCACAGCCCGCATCTTCCCACTGGGGACCACGCGGCACTCACCTCCTTGGCGCTGGTGAAGGCGACACCAGAAAATGCGTATCTGTCAACAACGAGGGTGATGCCCTGGCTCAACTTCTTCTTAATCAGCGGCCTAAAAAACAGAGCGTGTTTCTGAGCCATGGTCCTGGCTTCACAGGCCCTGATGGTGTAATTCACTGATACAGAAACCAACACAGTAGAGGGATGAGAGGGCAGTGATCTGTGGCCTTGTGGGTATTCAGAAAAGCTCTGGATCTTCTCCTTAGAAGAGGCCACCGGGCTGCTCCCAGCAAAGCCCAATGTGAAAAAGACAAGTCCACGAAAGCAAAACAAACACAACTGATGAAGACGGATGAACGGAGGAAGGCTCGCTGGCCGTATGGGCAGGGGTGTGGAGGGCCAGGCCACCCCACTGGGAAGGAGAGCCCGGGAGAGCAAAGGCGCAGATGCAGCCAGGATGGGATGATGCTCGCTGCCTAGAGCCTGAAGGGCCAGGACAAGGGTGGACGGGGTGGCCAAGGATGTCCTCAACCAGGTGATGGCGGCTCAACCCCCATCCCCCGGCCCCAAGATCTTAGGAAGATGTGCACAGACAAAGAGCCTGACATTAGCAAGAAGTGTCACTTGCACTTTCTGGAACGAAAAGATGTTTGTTACCTGTGACCTTGAGAAGCTCACAGAACAGTAGGGAGACAGAAGGCACACCTCCGGCAGTAAAATGCAGTTTCCATCACAGCATTACCTGTAACTGCAAACTATTAAAAAAATTACCTGACCTCACAAGCAGAAAACTGACCGAACAAACAGCTCCAGCACATGCACACGAGAATGATGCGGCTGTATGAGGAACGAGGGAGGTGTCTATCAGCCGAAAGAACACCATCTCCCGATGTCCTTAGGAAAGCAGAGTACAAACACACGGCAGGCTCTGTTTTTGAAGGTGGCAAATTGGCGAATTAAGACATCACATACGTCTCTGCTTGTGTATAAAATGATTCCAGAGGGGAACACTAGAAATGAATAGGTTACCCGCAGAGGGAGGGCAGAAGTGGGTGAGAGACCTTTCTCTACGTAGAGACCTTTCTCTACGACTTTGACTTTTATTTTTTTTTAAAGATTTTATTTATTCATTTGACAGAGAGACAGAGAGAGAGGGAACACAAGCAGGGGGAGTGGGAGAGGGAGAAGCAGGCTTCCTGCCGAGCAGGGAGCCCGATGCAGGGCTCGATCCCAGGACCCCGGGATCATGACCTGAGCCAAAGGCAGACGCTCAACCGACTGAGCCACCCAGGCGCCCCTGACTTTGACTTTTAGAACCATTTAATGTTTCATGTTTCCAAAAACTAAAATTAAATCAAGATGGGAAAAAAACCCTAAAATCATATACAGAGTCAAATGAACCTGTATCCCAAACGAACACACAGTGAAGATGGGAAAATCCTGCCCCAAGAGACCTCTGAACACTGCACTCACTGTGCCCTTGTTTTAAGGATAGAGCTGCAAACCAGCATTGACCTCTCCACAGGCTTTTACATTGGTAGGTATACTGAGGATGCCGTGAGCCAGGAAGAGCATGGAGCCAGGCTGGAACAGTAGGTCTCAGTTAGCATAGACCTAGAGAGGTAAACAGACATAGACCAAGATAAACTTACACGCAGGTCCAACCATAACAGGAGCCTAGAGGCAGGGATGCTCACTGGCAGCAAGCACCCAGCACCCTGATGCTGGTTTCTAAATACCACTCTCCATTAAACAGAAAAGAGCAACTGGTTCCTGGGTTGGAGCAGGATAAAACACAAGAGAAACCTGAACATCTTGTTCTACCAAAAAGTTCTCAAAAAATGAGGCCTGGGAACACAGCAAATGGACACAAGCCAACATGAAGAGATTTCCAGAGGCCAAATTTGCAATCATCTAAACATTAAAACAACTGGCAGTATGACTCACCAAGTAAAAAAGAACCTGTTGAGTCCGCACTGGTGATGGACACATGGATGACCCGGGGAGGCAGGAAAGTCTTCCTTACATAGGAAGCCGACTAATACACACAGAAAAATCACCATTTGAAATCACAACAGACTCAGGAAGATTTATTAATGAATGATAAAGTAAAAAATCAAAGTTTGATGAGGAAGGGGATATTTATGAGTTTTGTAGTATTCCCCCCCTTTTTTACACTGATTTTTTTTAAAGATTTTATTTGCCGAGGCGGGGGGAACACAAGCAGAGGGGAGGGACAGAGGGAGAAGCAGGCTCCCCGCTGAGCAGGGAGCCTGATGTGGGACTCGATCCCAGGACCTGGGATCATGACCTGAGCCAAAGGCAGACACTTCCCCGGCTGAGCCACCCAGGTGTCCCTCCCCTTTTGACTACTTAGCAATCCAGGGGGGGCCAAACCACACTGTATCCCTCCTGGCTCAGTGTCCTAAAGATGACTGACCCAATGTCACTTCCATGGTATTCCTGACAAAAATACAAACCCAAATCTATTTGTGAGGAAACATCAGACCAACCCTGAATTTTATAAAATAAATGACCTGTAATTTTTAAAAAGGGAGCAAATGATAACACAAATGTGGCAAAATATTAATAATAGGTGAAGTCTGGAGGGGCATGCAGGAATTCTTGGCACTATTCTTGCAACTCTTCCAGTTGACTGAAATTATTCCAAAGTAAAAACTTAAAAATGAGTAGAAAATTGCTAGATTGATACAGGAAGTAAAAGAAATCGCTCATTTCTAGGAATGAATTGCTGCACGGAGTGCTATTTAAGATGCCCCTGGAGGAGCGCTGGGTTTGGCAAACAGAGATGGGGGAGGGAAGGTGGGGTGTTGCCCCCAACCTGTGAGGAGAGCACCACATGTTCTGTGCCGCCAAACTGTAAAGATGCCAGAGGACAAGTATTTTGGGAACCAGCAACTGATTCAAGTTAAGACGAAGCATAGCAAAAAGGTGGACAATTAAAGGGCTGGAGGAAATAACCAGTTTCTCACAAAGTGCTTCCAAGCACCCCAGGTTTACTAAGCCCTCACTCCCAGGCCTGCCTGGCCAGCTTTCCTTGACCCTCACCAGCACCTGCTGTGGGGCACCCCCTGACGGCCACACAGCTGCGCAGCCATGGGAGCTGCGGCAGAACAGATGGACCACAGGCACGTGGCCTGTGTGGCAGGGACAGGATCACTAGGAAGTGGAGTCAGCATTACTCTCCACTTTTAAGTGGACCTACCTTATTTTTTTTTTTGTTTAAGATTTTTTATTTATTTATTTGAGAGAGAGAGAATGAGAGATAGAGAGCACGAGAGGGAAGAGGGCCAGAGGGAGAAGCAGACTCCCCGCTGAGCAGGGAGCCCAATGTGGGACCCGATCCCGGGACTCCAGGATCATGACCCGAGCCGAAGGCAGTCGCTCAACCAACTGAGCCACCCAGGCGCCCTGGACCTACCTTATTTTTCTACAAAGCCACAAAAACCAAACTGGAACAATTATGTCCATAAACTCCAGATTAAAGATTATAAAAACGATCTCATTTTCTTCTTGTCCTTGGGAGTGGGAAGGCCTTTCCAAACCAGACACAGTTAAGCCAGAAGAAAGCAGTGCAGGCTTGCTTTTAAGAGGTGCCAGTGCAAAACCACGGACAGGTATCTGGCTAAATCTACTGGGGACAGCCTTTCTGGAGAGCAACCCAGACTGACTGGAAAGTCAGAGCTTTGCAAAGCACAACCAGAAAGCCAATTACGAGATGGTTGTATGGGAGGATCCCATTTATTTATGTTAAACAAAACTACTCCAATAACATATGTGTATATAAATGGAAAAAAATCATCTAAAAGCACAGGCCACAGGCACTTGATCACAGTTAAATGCTGAGTGAGGAGGTAGAAGAATACGTAAAACAAAAGGGGCGGGGAAAAAGTAAATTGTGAACTTCCGCTAATAATGTGTCAACATGGGGCACCTGAGGGGCTCAGCTGGTGGAGTGTCTGACCCTGGATTTCGGGTCAGTTCATAATCTCATGGTCCTGGGATCGAGTACTGCATCCGGCTCGCGCTCAGCAGAGTGCGCTTGTCCCTCTCCCTCTGCTCCCTGGCCCCATCCCCCCTCACTCTCTTTCCTGAATAAATAAAATCTTAAAAAAAAATGTGCCAACATCAGTTCATCCACTGTCACAAATGTAGCACACTAAGCTAAGACAAATAATATGAGAAATTGGGGGTGGGAGGGAGGGACAGGGGTAGGAGGGAAACTCTGTATTTATCACCAGCTTTTCCAACTATGTAAAACTACCCTACAAAATAAAGTCTACTAATTACAAAAAGGTGGCAGGGCAGGAGGAAGAAACAGCATCAATTCCTGCTCTTCAGGAACCAGAGCTCTAAGACCTGGGGTTAAGGACGGGTGCTTGCAAAGGTCCAGCCTCTGGCATTACTGCCAACACCATTCGGAAACAAGAGCTGCATTCGCCCAATCTCAAGCAGGAGGCAAAGCACGGGGTGGGGTGGGGGTGCAGCACAAAGGTAGCGTTTACACTTGCTCCCAGCGGTTCGCGGAGAAAAGTAGGTGCACCGAGTGGTCCTCCACCTCACTTTTCTTTTCCAAGTAAGAACTCAGAAGTTTGCCAATTTCGGTTGATCTTTCTAAAAAAAGAGAGAGAGAGAGAAATACAAAAGTGAGGGTAGGCTTTCCACCTCAATTGGAATATAATTCGGGCTGAACTCAAGTCCTTTGAGTTTTATTTCAGGATGTCTCCACCCGGGTTCGGAGCTTCCCTGAGAACCGGCAGCAAGGTGCAGACACACAGGGATGAAAAACGCTTCAAGAAAAGGGAAGGAAGGTACAACTCAGGACCTCAAAGCCGGCGTTGATGGGATTGGTAGACCCGCCGGCTTCCAGACTGGAAGAGGCCAAACGTCCAGAACCCGCTCCCCCCGGTTCCCTACCCGTTTTGTAAGCCTGCAGGTGTCTCTGGGTAACCTAACTGCTGGTATTTTCACAGGCACTTCTAAGATCAACGCTGTACTTTAAAGACTACAAGTATCCCATCAAGCCCCTCCGAGGGAAACAGCTACCCCGACCCAGAAACCCGCACGGACTCCACGACCGCACCGGGAACCCGCTGGGGGGGGCGGGGCACAGACACAGTCCGCGGCTCGTGACGACAGCCTCGGGGACCGACGGCCCTGCCGCAACCCCACCGGAAAGGGGGGCGCCCCCGACCGCGCTAGCGTGCGCACCCCGCGCGTCCTCAGCCGGCCCCCGGCCCGCCGGCGCCACACCCACCCGGGAAACGGAGCAGCTCCGCGCGGTGGCCGGCGGCGCACAGCGCGGCCACGAGCTTGCGGCTCTGCGTGCTCTTGCCGGCGCGGTCCACGCCCTCCAGCACGATGAGGGCCCCGCGCCGGCCTGCCATCCTCGCGCTTTCCCGCCGCCCACCGCCACCGCGCGCCCCAGCGCCGCTCGGAGCTCCCATTGGCGGGCGTCCGCGGCGCGCGCGCGCCGGGATTGGTTGAAATGGACCTGCGACCGCGGCGCGCACTGGGACGGGCTGAGATAAGGTCGCGACCGCCGCGCGCTCCGGAACTGACGAAAGGGGGCCGCACGTTAGGATTGGCTGCTGTTTTCCGGCCTTGCCCGGATTGGCTGGTATCGGCCCGGGGGCGGGGGCGAAGGCCGCAACGGTCGCCCCGCCCCTTCCGGCGGAGTCACCGCCTTCCGGGCCCGGAGAGCTGGCGGCGGGGATTGTGGGCCGCGGGCGGGGAGGCCGAGGGGCGGCGCGGGGCCGTGTGGCGCTGGCCGCGGGCGGACATCCCCGCTCCCTCGAGGGGGCCGTCTGGTCGGCGACAGCCCGGCGGCGTCCTGCGGCGGGGGGCGGGGCCGTGCGCACACTGGCGGCTCGACCGTGCCGGGAAGGCCGTGTCGCTGTCGCTGTTCCAGTGCTGGGACCGAAGGGTCAGGGACGACGTGGGCAGACTCCCGGGAGAGGGAAGGCGGCAGTCGTGCCGCCCCTCGTGCCCGACTCTTCCGATGGGGGTCACCGTCACGTCGGGAGGCGCTGGCTCATAGGGGCTGTTACTATTTTAGGGGCGCCTGGGCGTGTTTCAGGTGAGACCGTGCGCCCCTGGAGCGGGCGCTGTGCCGCGCGCCCGGCCTCCCCGCCTCCCCAGGGCCCATCCCCAGTTGCCATCCCACTGGGGGAGGCGGGCAGCACTTGAACCCGCGGGGTTTGCGACGGCACACTCAGGTCAGGACGAGCTAGGAGCCCCGTCTCCCAGAGCGCCCCCCGTAGCCTGGTCAGAGTTTGCGGGTGGCAGGCCCTCGTACGAGGTTTGGAGGCCCTTGCAGCTGGAATTGTGGTGGACTGTTTCCTCGTGAGCTCTCTGGAGCACCTGCCTCACTGCTGCAGCGCCGGAGCCTGCTGACGCTTCCAGGGTGGACAGCGGCAGCGGCCTCCCGGAGCCCTGGACACCACCCTCCGCGATCTCCCCGACCTTTCCTCCTCCAGTTCTCGTGTTTGCACAAGTCCCTGAGAACGTGGCTCCCCAAGATAGCTAGCCGGAGTGGCTTTGAGTCCCCCCACCCGACCTTTGCCTGATGTGGTTTTGGGTTCTGGAAGAGTGATAGATTATATTCGCCTCCTTCCTTGATGTTGATCTTGGCTGTGCGACTTCCAGATGCTGTGGTGATCACAGCTGACTTGCGTGCTTTGAGGGGGAAGAAAGCTTTGAAAGCTGTTGTGTGGCTCGCCCATCCCCTCCCCCACCACGTGAGAAGAGCATATACACAGTTAGGGCTGTGTTTTCATCCTGGATCTCCAGTGAAGGAAATACAGCCAGGGCCAGGCTACAACCACCGCGACTGATAGGTAGCCCGGCAAGAAGAAAGCCACCGGCATTCCAAGTTCCTCCCGGAGACTCTGGGATCCCCTGTTACTGCAGCATGACCTAGGGAAGGCTCACTGATACAAAGGCTAGTGCTTAATGTTGTCATAGGTAGGGAGGCAGTAGCCCTTGGTTCGATGTCTCCTGTTCTAAAATGTCCATCTCCTGAGCCTTCAAAGGATGGAAGCATTAGAATGGAGAAGGGAACCTTCCCAGGGTTCGGCAAGTGCCAGCACAGCCTTGCAGCACATCTGTAGGATGAGCTCACCGGCAACGCGGAGAACATGTAATGTGGTGGGTGCATCAGCTTGTGAATGCACGGCCCTCCTGGTTGCCTGTAAAAATGCAGGAACCTGGCTGTTGGAGCCTTGTATGCTGGGTGGTGGTGGAGTGCCCTTTTGATCCCAGCAGTCGCTCGGCTAGCACAAGTATGGTGATGTTTGTCATTAAGGTACAACAAGCAGTTTGCTTCTCGGTCATCCAACATGTCCTGCCTCTTTTATATCAGAATGACACTAACTGCAAGTACCAGAATACCAACCTAACTGGCTTACATCATCAGGATATTTTGTTATCACACATAACTCGAAGTCCAGAGTTAGGCAGCCAGGAACTGCTTCCGCTGATTGGTGATGTCAAAGGTCAGGTCCACATTTTAGCAGTTCTAGCTTTTCCTTCATGGTCACAGGGTGACTTCAGCATCTCCACGCGTCCAGTGCTGATCTCATGGCCCCGCCATGGGCAGAGGAGCACCCTTGCATCTGGACATTCAGACTCCTTTCTGCTTTGCTGCCTGGACAGTTAGGTCTCAGGCCTGACTGTCAGCATGGTCTGCCCTGGAGCAGTGCAAGCAGGATCTCTTCACAGCACCATAGAAGCCTTCTCATAGATGGGCACAAGGACGTCCACTTGGTGGAGGAAATGACAGGGTTCTGGGTCTAAGTGTGCTTGGAGACAGAGGGGACATAAAATGGGTTGTCAGGTGCTAATTGCCAAAGCTGGCTGATGAGCACACGGGGCTCATTAGGGCCTCCCTACTCTTAACGTGTTTGGGATTGTCCATTAAAAAAAAAAGGGATGCCTGGGTGGCTCAGATGGTTAAGCGTCTGCCTTCGGCTCAGGTCATGATCCCAGGGTCCTGGGATGGAGCCCGACATCGGGCTCCTTGCTCAGCCGGGAGCCCGCTTCTCCCTCTGCCTGCTGCTATGCTTTCTCTCTCTCTCTCTGACAAATAAATAAATTAAAAAAAAAAAAAGACTCTAAAACCCTTTTACTGTTCCCTGTTCCTCAAGTGTGTTGTACCTCCCACCTCACAGGATTGTGTCAGCAAAGTCTTCCTGACTCTGTTAGCCAGGCTACCATACCAAGACACCACAGGCCACGGGACTCCAACGGCACCAGTCTTTCCACTGTACAGGTGTAGAGAGAAGTCTGGTGTCTCTTCTTCCTCTTAATTCCCTCTCCAAAGAACGTCACATTGGGGGTTAGGGTGCAACCTATGAACTTGGGGGAATATTCAGTCCATGGCACTCACCTGCTTCCACATGAGTCTGCTGGGCACATGAGTGCCCTACTAGACTTCTTTTCCCAGGCCCGCTTGCACCTAGAGGTGGCGACATAGCCCAGCGCCAGCGAAATGTGAGTAGACGCCGTGTGTGTTCCTTCAGACAGCAGACCGTGCTCTCCCTTTACCTGTGGCTTCCCCTTATTGCAACCTGGCCGTGACTGTGCTGATGAAGGCAAAATTCCCTGGGGGCAGACAACATGCTGGAAGGAATCTGGGCCCCTGAGTGACCCCGTGGAGCATGGCTGCCACCCCCTGGACTAACCATGTTGGGACTGTGGCACAAGAAATAAAATTCTTTCTAAGCCACTGGATTTTGTTTGGTTTTCTTTACATTATACTAGCTTAACCTTCCCCTAAAGCACTGCTCAGTTAGTGGACATTTTGATTGTCATAATTTGGGGGGTGCTAACTGCATCTAGTGAGTAGAAGCCAGGGATGCTGTTAAGCATCCTACAAGGCACAGGACAACCCTCCCCCCGCCCCCGCCCTGCCCCAGGAAAGAGTTTCCTGGCCCAAAATATCAACAGTCCTGAGGTTGAGAAACCCTGCCTTTTTTTTTTTTTTTTTAAGATTTTATTTATTTATTTATTTGATAGAGCATGAGCCAGGTAAGGGTCAGAGGGAGAAGCGGGCTCCCTGCCACGTGGGGCACGATCCCAGGACCTGAGCTGAAGGCAGACACTTAACCGATTGAGCCCCCCAGGCGCCTCAGAAACCCTGCTCTTCACATTGCAATAAAAGGAATCCTCTCTGGTCATTTCTAGAACAGGGTCTTCCTAAGAGAATTCATCAGTTTTCTCATGTGAATGAAAGACAAACTGCTATCTGGAAGAAGTTATTCTCAATATCTGATATATGAAGGGCCATTAGCCTTAACTTTTTTTTCTTTAAAGATTTTGTCAGAAGAGAGAGGGAGCTCGTACCAGTGCATAAGCAGGGGGAGCTTAAGCAGACTCCCCACAGAGCAGGGAGCCCGATGTGGGGCTCGATCCCAGGACCCTGGGATCATGACCCAAGCCGAAGGCAGCCACTTAACTGACTGAGCCACCCAGGTGCCCCTTAACTTTTTTTTTTAATTTAAATTAGCCAACATATAGTGATCATTAGTTTTAGATGTAGTGTTCAATGATTCATCAGTTGCGTATAACACCCAGTGCATATCACATCACGTGCCCTCAATACCCATCACCCAGTTACCCCATCCCCCACACTCCTCCCTTCTGCAACCCTCAGTTTGTTTTCCAGAGTCACGAGTCTCACATGGTTTGTCTCCCTCTCTGATTTCTAATTTTTTTTTTTTTTTAGATGAAGGCACGAAGATCGGTTTTCTCATAGATAACGGGTAAAGGACATAAAATGATAGAATTGCAAATAGCCCGTGGATATAGAAAAATATGTTTAGCCTCACTTAAAATCAAAGAAATACAAATCAAAACACAGGTTGGTTTTTTGGTTATTTCTTTTTTCTATCAAGTTAGTAAAGATAAAAAGCCTGACAAAATCTAGGGTTGACAAAGTGTAAAAACATACTTAGTGGAGTGTCAGTTGGTATAATTTTTTCCTTGGGCAATTCATTTAAAAGTATCAGCGCTTAGAACATGCAATGCTTTTTGAGCTGGCAATTCCCTTTTTTTTTTTTTTTTTGAGGGAGAGGAGCAGGGAGGGGCAGAGGGAGAGAAAAAAAGAGAGAGAGAGAGAGAAAGAAAAGCAGACTCCCTGCTGAGGAGGGAGCCCAACACAGGGCCCAATCCCAGGATCTGGAGATCATGACCCAAGCCAAAGGCAGATGCTTAATTGAGCCACCCAGGTGCCCCAGCAATTCCACTTCTAAGAATTTATCCCAAAGAACTAATAGGACAAGGTGTAAATTAGAGACGGCCTCAACCCTTGCTACTCCTCCCATTGAGAGGTGGGTCTAATTCCCCTCCCCTCAAATCTGGTTGTCCCCAACAACTTGTTTGACCAATAAAATGTAATGAGATGTCTCGGGACTACCCAGGAGAGTTCGCAAGTATTGCAGCTTCTACCGCGGCCTCCTGGAACTCTCTGGAAACCCTGCATGGCCATGAAGAGTACCACTCCCTGGGACTGTTGTGCTGGAGAGGCCCCATGTAGGCATCCTAATCCATAATGCCAATTAAATGCTACCTTCCAGCCACCCCAGTGACCTCTATAGTATTACATAGAACAGAAGAATCACCTGGCTGAGCTCCGCTGAAATGTGTGACTCAAAAATTCCGAGTGACAATAAAATGGTTCTTTTAAGCAATTGTTTTCAGGTAGCTTATTATGCAGCAATAAATAACTGGAACACACAGATAAGTACAGCCATATGAATAAATGTTCACCAGAGCATTATTTGTGCTAATGAAAACTGGAAACAATGAAAACACTGTACATCTATTGTTAAGGTATGGCACACCAATGCAATGAAATATATCTAGTAAACAGAATGAAGTAGTTTTGAGTAAAACATGGTCAGATGTTTGCGAAGAGTATTAGGTTAAAAATGTAAATAGTAGAAAAGTGGATAGTATGATTCACATAAGAAAACCAAGAGCCCAATTTAAAAAGTGGGCAAAAGTTATGGGGCGCCTGGGTGGTTCAGTTGGTTCAGCATCTGACTCTTGGTTTCAGCTTGGGTTGTGATCTCAGGATCTGGCCCTACATTGGGCTCCACACTCAGTGGGGAGTCTGCTTCCCCTCTGCCCACCCCCCACCTTCTCTCTCTAAATAAAAATAACCTTTTTAAAAAAGTTAAAAAAATAAAAAATGGGCAAAAGTTATGAACAGACACCCCCCCCAAGAAGATGTACAGATAGCAACTATACTTGTAAGAAGGTGCTCATTAGGGAATTAGGTCATTAGGGAACTGCAAATAGAACAATGAAATATCTTTACCCACCCATCAGAATGGTCAAAATCCAGAACACTGACAACACCAAATGCTAGTGAGGATGTGCAGCAACATGAACTCTTTATTCTTTGCTGGTGGAAATGCAAAATGATATGGCCGCTTTGGAAGCCAGTTTGGTGGTTTCCTACAAACCTAGACAATCTTACACTTTTTTGTATTTAACCAAAGAAATTAAAAACATGTCCACGCAAAAACCTGTACACAAATGATTATAGTAGCTTTATTCAGAATTGGCAAAACTTGGAAACAACCAAGAAGTCCTTCAATAGGTGAATGGGTAAACTGTGGTCCATCCAGACAATGAACTATTACTCAGCATTAAGGAGAAATGAGCTATCAAGCCACAAAAAAGCATGGAGGAAACTTAAATGCATTTTACTTAGTGCAAGAAGCCAGTCTGAAACGTCTGCATATACTGTGTGATGCCATTCTGGAAAAGGGAAAACTGCAGTAAAAAGATCAGTGTTTGTCAGGGGTGTGGGGAGTGGGTAGAGGGATAAAAAGGTGGAGCACAGGATTTTGGGGGCAGAGAAACTATTCTGTATATTGTAATGTTGAATACATGTCATTATACACTTGTCAAAACCTATAGAATGTACAGCACAGAGTGAACCCTAATGTAAACTATGGACTTTAATAATAACATATCAATATTATTTCATCAGTTACAATAAATGTACCACCCTAGTGCAAAGTGTTTGTAATGGGGCTGTGTGTGTGTGTGCGCGCGCGCACGTGTTTAGGGGTACACAGGAACTCTATTTTCTTCTCAATTTTTCCGTAAACTTAAAACTACTCTAAAAAATAGTCTATTTAGTTAAAAAAAAAACACAACATAGCCCCAAAGGTCGGTAGTGTGCAATTACGTACCTGTGCACGTGTGCATTTTCCCAGTGAAGGAGGCCAGAAAGGATGCACCCAAACTGCTAACATTCAAATTGGAAGGTGAACTAGAGTCACAGATCTGTATCCTGAGGAGATGGGGAAACTGTAAGTTCCTGTGTAGTTTGAATTTTCTCAGTGAACGTAAAATTGGCAAAAGCAGTGTTTCCATTTGTTAGACTAGGGCAGGTTTAGGGGAGAGCTCACGAGAGGGACTGTACGTTCAAACACCCATCTTTAATAACGACACTGCTACTCCACTGGTCAGGGTGTGTTAAGCAGCGGGAGGGCGGCCTTGAACCTCCGGGGCGCAGGCCCTTCTCCCGAGCCCCGCGCTCCACCTGCACGTGCGTCGCCGGCCGCCCCGCCGGGCGCTGGGGACTCCGCGCGCGCTCGCGGGACCGCGCTCGTCACACCCCGCCCGCACCTGCTCCCGCCAGAGCAGCTGCCAGGGAGGGGGGCTGGAGCCCGGGGCCCCGGCCACGCGGGCAGGGACGTGCATCCAGGATGTGCGGGGCCCTCGACCCCGCCTCCGGGCCCAGACCCCACTCCGCCGGGCGCCAGGCCCAGTCCCCGCTCCCGCGCGACGCCGCGCGCAGCCCTCCGACCGGAAGCCGGAGGGCATGTCCAGACGGCGCCCCGCCCCAGCCGGCGGACCAATCAGCGCCCGAGGTTCATTAATAGTGAACGCGCCGGCCCCGCCTCCGCCCCTCGCGGCACCGCCCGCCCGCGCAGACCTAGAGCGCGGCCGCGGACGAAGATGGCGACCGCCATGTACTTGGAGCACTACCTGGACAGTAAGCGCCCCTCGCGGCCCTGGGGCCTGGCGCCCGCGCAGGGTCTCCCCACACGGGCCCACCCCGCGGGCACCAGGCGCCGCGCGCGGACCCGGAGGGCTCGTGGGGGCGACAGGAGCGGTCCGGCAGCGGCGGGGGCGGCGGGGGCGCGCTCCGGGCGGGGCGGGGCCGCAAGGAGGTACGCGCGGGGGGCGCGGCGCGGGGTCCCACCGTCACTGCCGCGCCAATTCCAGGTGCGTCACGGGGGGGCGGGGCTGGTGGGCGCGGGGCGGGGGCTTGCGTGCCACGGCCCCGCCCTCTCCGGCTAGGCCCCGCCCTCGGCCCTGGCCTCAGCGGCCGCCCCGCCCTCCCCTTCCTCGGCCCCTCCCGCGCAAGGCCCCCCTCACGGCCCCGCCCCGCCTTCCCGGCCCCATCCGCTGGCTTGGTCCCGCCCCCCGCTCTAGGCCCCGCCCCGGCCCCGCCCCCACCGCGCAGTCAGGCGCAGATGTTCAAGCCCCAACCTCCTCGGACGCTGGGCTGGTCCTGGGGGGGGTCCGGGTCCGGGATGTGGGGGGGTCTCCGGCCGGGGTTCTGTGCCTGCTCGTGCGGTGACCTGGGAGTTGGCGGAGCCAGTACTGGCGGGGAGAGTCTCCGAGGGTGCCTGTCCTTCCGCGTGGCGTTGGTGGGAGGGGACTGGCAGGGCTGGTTCAGGTGTTGAGGACAGTGATGGTCACCACGGAAAGACATCTGGGAGACTCTTCCTGCAGGCGTCCTTCTGTCTACATGTAGCTCAGGTTGGGGCTTCCTGAGAACTTCTGAGAAGATGGGAAAATGCAGGCCGTAGAGGCCAAGTAGCTTGTCAAGGTCATGCACTCCACAGCGGAGAGCCCACGTTTGAACGCTGCTGATCTGGCTCTGGCTGCGGATGGCTTTGGGGGGCGGCTGGGGGGGGCTGGGCTGGGTGCTCTGGAGCTCTCTATTGCAGTGGGAATATCCACGGGCATTGGTACCTGCAGCTGCTGACAGTGGGGAGTGAGCCCCTGCCCTGGGGGGGGTCCCGGTGAGAGAGCACTGAGGAGGGGAGGCCCTTGGCTGCCTTGTCTCTACTGCGCTGACCTGTCTGCTGGGGAGCACTGTGGCTTGCCCTTCTTGTCCCGGTACCTGCCCAGTGAGCCCTGTGAAGACAGTTTGACGATTGTGAGTTCCATCATGCACAGGGCACCTGTGTGCAGGCTCAGAATGGAGGTGCCTGCTTGAGGTTTGAACACCTGCTGTGTGCTAAGCCTTGGTCCTCATTTTCCTGGAACTTACTTTCAAATGGGGCAAGTGGACTTTTTAAAAGTTCACAGCAGATTAAGGGGCATGAAGGAGCCCAGCAGGCTGTGAGAGACCCGGGGTGGCACTGTCCCACAGAGCCCAGGGTAGGACAGAACAGGGAGGTCCTTGGGGAGGCTGTGGTGAGCCTGGAGGCTGGGGAGGGCATGTGTGCCATTCTCTGGCTGAGCTGGGCAGCTGTAAGCTTGCAGACAGGCTGGATGGCTGGCCTGGAGTAGGAGCAGGGCAGTGCAGTGGGGAAAGCAGTGTGGGCTGGGGTCCTCGACCTGTGCTGACTAGCACTGTCTGTGTAACTTGAATGAAACTTGAGCAAAGGAAAAGTTCAGTCCCTCAGTCGTGGTAGCCCCATTTCAGGTGCTCAGCAGCCCCGTGGCCAATGGCTGTTGTGTTGTATAGCTCAGGCCGTGTCTCCTTGCATGAAGTCTACCACACAGCACTCGCCGGCACCACCCCATGCACTGAGTGTCAGAGTAAAGAGACCCCAGGGCTTTGGTCTTACCCACTGTGGGGGTCCTGAGAGGGGAGGACTGGCTGGGGGTGTGGGATGGAAGCGTCACAAGGGCCACCTTCCCAGCCTCTGCTTGCAGGTGGAGGGTAAGTCCCCCTCTAACTTTTCCAGCTTCCAACACCGTCTGAAGCCTGTCTCCCCTGAAGACTTACCTTAATCCTTCTGTTCCTCAAATCCTAACAGAAACAGAAAATGAAGGGAGCTTATTCTTTGTAGATTTTAGGTATAAAGTCTGGAAGGCAGGTTTTGTCCTGCTACTGAGAAGTACACGTCTCTGTGTTTCAGGCATTGAGAACCTTCCATGTGAGCTTCAGAGGAACTTCCAGCTCATGCGAGAGCTGGACCAGAGGACAGAAGGTGGGTTGGGCTCTGACAGCTGGGGAGAGGTGGCCCTGTCTTACGGACAACGCTGACACTTTAAAATTCGACTTAGTTTTTTGGGTCCTAGCACATCTTCCTGTAGCATCTTTACAGCTATCGTCCATTCCTCATTACCTTTCCTTTCCTTTAAAAGGTTTTCTCGTTTCAAACTGTGTACATGTGGTTTAAACAGATAGCACTTGGCAGTCTTTTGGTATTTAGCTCCCTGTTTCTTTTTCCTTTTTTTTTTAAGATTTTATTTATTTATTTGACAGAGCAAGAGAGCAGGAACACAAGCGGGGGAGTGGGAGAGGGAGAAGCAGGCTTCCCGCAGAGCAGAGAGCCCGATGTGGGGCTTGATCCCAGGACCCCGGGATCATGACCTGAGCTGAAGGCAGACGCTTAACGACTGAGCCACCCAGGCGCCCATAGCTCCCTGTTTCTTTCTTTCTTTTTTTTTTTTTTTAAAGATTTTGTTTATTTATTCATGAAAGACAGAGAGAGAGAGAGAGAGAGAGAGAGAGGCAGAGGGAGAAGCAGGCTCCCAAGGAGCAGGGAGCCCGATGCGGGACTCGATCCCAGGACCCTGGGATCATGACCTGAGCCGAAGGCAGATGCTTAACCATCTGAGCCACCCAGGCGCCCGCTCCCTGTTTCTAAACATTGTGTTTTTGCTGCTGTGTATTACTTTATTTCCCTTTTGCTTTGGGCTTTATTCTGTTATTGTGGAATATGAAGGTTTGCATCCTCCCTCCCCCCGCCGTCTCCTGGTGTTGTGGCTTAGAATCTGAGTCTGCCGTAGACCAGGGATGGCATTTCCTTTAGGACTCCTGTGGAGGTGGTTTGCAGCTGGGCCACATCACATGCTATGCTTACGAGACCTTTTTTAAATAACTGTTTTTCTTAGAGCTTGTAATTGCCTTGTTTTCCACGTTCCATACACATTGCACGTTTTCATTGTGTCTGCTGCCCCAGGGGATCTGCCAGTCCCAAGTCTGCCCTGCACACTCAGACCTTTCCCCTGGAGCCTCCTGCCCTGTGGGTCTTGTCTGGGCTGGCTGTTTCCAGGCCTGCGGCACAGGCACTGTCTCTGCTCATCTTTGGTCCAGGACCCTGATTCCTGTGTTGTAAACATCCTTTCTCTTGGTCCCTTGTTTTAGTGGAGCCTTTCCTCCAGTAGTTTCCTGAAAAACGGTACATGGGAAGGTAGATTTCTTACAATGCCATATGTCTGAAAACGTGCTTGTTCTGGTCTCATAGTTGGTGAACATTTTGGCTGGGTATAGAATTCCAGCTTGACAGTCATTTTCCCTCAGCGTGTGGAAGGCACTGCTGCTTTGTCTCCTGGCATCCCTGTGGCCCTTGAGAGATCTGATGCTGTTTGGATTCCTCATCCTTTATACGTGTGGTCTTCTCGCTGTTCCTGTTAGGCAGCCTCTGGGCTGCTGTCTTTGTCCCTGCGGTTTTGTTTTGTGGCGATGTGCTTGGGTATGGGTGATTTTTCATTCATTGTGCCTGCCACAGGTTTTGTAAGGTCAGAATAGCTGTGGTTTTTTACTGAGCTACGGTCTCCTGGCTCGCAGATCGCAGATACAGAGAGTTCTGTTATTATGAAATACAGCATTTACATTCAGGAATAAGCACAAGTGTTTGTAAATTGCCCAACAAACAGCACCTTGCAAACCTCTCCCTAGATGGAGAAGTGGGGCCCCGGGCGCCTGGCGCCCAGTGTAAGCCTGCTGTGCATGCTGCCCCTCCCACCCTCAGTTTCCCTGGCAACAAGTTTTCTCACCTCCCTAAACCGAAGAGTTCACAGTTGTATGTGTCTGTCCTTAATGTCAGTGGGATCTCACAGTATGTTGTTCTTTGGGTCTCGCTCTTCTGGCTCACTGCCCCCTTCTGTGGGATTAACCCACATTGCCGTGTGTAGTAGTTGTTGTGCTGTTTTGGTTGCTGTGTGAATGGACCACAGCTTATTGGTCTGTTTTACTGTGGATTGCACATTTGGCTCGTTTCCTGTTGTCTGCATTTATGAATGTTGTCCCGTATGTATCCTAAATCTGGGGTGTGTGTACTGAGGACTAGTACGCCAGCTGTATCTAAGGTGAGCACATAACCTGTGATTCCAGCAGGGACCGTGGGGGAGTCAGAGAGGTCGGCGTGCGTACTTCCTGGGAGGGCACTGAAACACTGGCACGTCTTGGGTGTGCTGTCCCAGCTGTGGTGTCCCCACGGCCCCTCGTGCTGGGCCGTCTGCCAAAGGCCATGCCTACCGCGCTCCCACCAGCAGTGCCTCTGTGTTGAGTCAGCCACCTTTTTGCTGCAACTTGGCTGTGTTCTTTGTTTTGTTATTTTTTAAGATTTTTTTATTTGACAGAGAGAGAGAGAGGGAACACAAGCAAGGGGAGTGGGAGAGGGAGAAGCAGGCTTCCCACTGAGCAGGGAGCCCGATACAGGGCTCTATCCCAGGACCCTGGGATCATGGCCTGAGCCGAAGGCAGACACCCAACGACTGAGCCACCCAGGCGCCCCGCAACTCGGCATTGTTCAGCTTTACTTGTTATCTTGGAATCTCTTGCAGGGACTAGCTTTTCCCCCATTTCTCTGTCAGATAAGAAGGCAGAGATCGACATCCTGGCTGCAGAGTATATATCCACAGTGAAGACACTTTCTCCAGACCAGCGTGTGGAGCACCTGCAGAAGATCCAGAGTGCCTACAGCAAGTGTAAGGAGTACAGTGATGATAAGGTGCAGCTGGCCATGCAGACCTATGAGATGGTGAGGAGGTGGGGGGCTGGGGGCCCGGGGGGCAGCTGGGGGCCCGGGTTCCTCCCTTTTACGCGGGACGGGACCAGCTGCTGAGAAGTGGTGCATCTGAAGTGGGGTCAGATTTTGACAGAGAGATGCTTCTAGACAAGGCATGCACTGGGGTGTCCTTCCTCAGGGACCGTCCTGCAGTCTGGTTTCCATGCCCTTTGTCCTCGTATATTTGGACACTTTATTTACTCCTAGTTTTTGTATATATGTCCTTAATGCTTACTTTGTCAGCTCTAGGTAAAGTCCTAGAATTTGTTGTGTCCAGTTTTCTCTCAAGTAGGCCTTGTGTGGGGCTCACGTGGTAGCACAGAGCCATTGTCCTGTGATGCACATCAGGTTGTGTAGTGACGGAAGCTCTGTCATCCTCGCACACTGTCACCTAACTCCGTTCCCTGCTGCCTCCAATAAAAAACAATTTTTTAAAGACCTGAATTAAGCTGTATTCGAGAAAGACTACTCTAGAAGGAGAACGTAATGCTTATATTTGGGGTTTTGATGCCCTAAAGTGCTGAATCTTTTTTTTTTTTTTTAAGATTTATTTATTTGAGGGAGAGAGAGAGAGATAGAAGCTCCAGAGAGCGTGCATGTATATGGGGGATGGGGGTGGGGGGGAGGGACGGAGGGGAGGGAAAATCTCAAGCAGACTCCTTTCTGAGCCTGACACGGGGCTTGATCTTAAGACCCTGACATCATGACCTGAGGCAAAATCAGGAGTTGGATGCTTAACCCACGTGCCCCTCCAAAGTGCTGAATCTTTACAGTAAGCAGCCTGCTTTTTAAAAGTTAGGTTTGATCAGTTGTCAAAGTCAGATTTTCTCTGATGCATAACAGAGTTTGAGATTATAGTTTGTTTCCAGACACGGATGGATAGAGAAGTCCTCCTTTTGGACAGTGACACATGGTGTGGGTTAATGGGTTGACTGTTGTGAGCCCGCTGGGTGAGGGGCCCAGAGTGCCGTCTCTCTGGGGGCCTCCTCCGTCAGGGCAGTGTGGTCACTGTCTTATCCCCGTGCTTTGACCCCATTGCCTTCTCTTTCTTCTTTCTTCCATCTTGTCCTGACTACAGCGTTAGAGACCCTTTCTCTGAGAACCTGTACGTTCTTCAGATTTTTAAACTAGGGTTAAATTAGGCTTCAGTGTCATATGTCCTCATATCCCCATTCCATTGCATTTCACAGCCCTGTTTCCCCTTACTGCCTGCCATCGTGGTTTTCCTGAGTAGGGTTTCTTCTGTTAAGGTTTCAAAACATGGGGACAAAGACCCTTCATAAACTGAGATAGTGGACCTTGTTTTAGGAGCTTTCTTAATTGAAAACTCAATTAAAGGGCAAGAAAATACTTCCTGGTTGATTTCCAGTGTGTTTGTGATTCCTGAGGTGTGTTGCTTTCATTTTTAAATAAGACTCGTGAGCATCCTTCTCCGTAGGTGGACAAACATATTCGAAGGCTTGATGCAGACCTGGCGCGCTTTGAAGCAGATCTGAAGGACAAGATGGAGGGCAGTGACTTTGAAAGCTCTGGAGGACGAGGGTTAAAAAGCAAGTCTGTTAATTTTTCTTTATTTTGTTACTGTTATCTGTGGAGTTTTGAAGAATTTTGGTGATAAATATGTGAGGAACATTATGGTAAATATATTTGAGTAACTCGTGTCCTGCTTCAGTGAATTCTGTGAAGATAATTGGGGTGTTTATTGTCTTTCAGAAGGTCGAGGTCAGAAAGAAAAAAGAGGCTCCCGGGGTCGTGGCAGGAGGACCTCAGAGGAAGATACTCCAAAGAAAAAGAAGCACAAAGGAGGGTGAGAGGCTCTTTTCCTTGTCTCTTTCTCCCCAAAGGTTACTTGGCATCAGTATTTCCTTAGCATCTAGAAACACCAATGGCAGCTAACAGCGAGGAAGTGCTTCCTGCATGCCCGCGGTGGGTGTAGTTCTGCATGCTTCCCGCGTGCAGGCTCCGGCTCTGCTGTGCTCGGCAGCCCGACGGGGTTCCCAGGGAGCGGGACCGGCCCTAGGTTTTACAGCTCCTGTGTGGGAGAGCTGGGTGTGCACTGGGCGGTCTGACTCCACAACCCACGCTCTTGGCCACTGTGTGTCCTGCCTCTTGAATGACACTATATTTATTGACAGTTCAGGCTAAGCCACGCTTTAACAGCTAAATATATAGCCGTTCATTGTTTTATGTATAAATATATATTTTGGATATATTTGTTATTAAGTTGCATGACTGCATTTATTAAATATATGTATTATTTACCTTGAACTTCAGAATATTTCATTTAAAGCTTTCTCCCACCTGCTTCCCTCATCCCCCAAGCTACTGTGTTGCTTCACAGAAGTGATTTTTAGAGTACAGAGAAAACAGTAAAGTGCCCAATGGCTTCCGTGGACATGGTTTTGACAGTTAGGGGGAGATCTCAGAGAGTCAGTTCTTGACCAAAAAAAGGGAGAAGTTTTGGTTCTTAAACCTGGTGTTTAAACTTTTAAGAAAAACGCCAAATGCCATCTTGCAGTGTACACATGCAGAATAAACATGTAGTTTAATGAATTACTCTCAGGCACATCCTTGTCTGTCACTGACTGCTATCAGCAACACTTTCATGTACCTGTCAAAACCATAACCGCCTTCCTTTGCCCCAGGTAAACAAGACCCAGACTTATGTGGTGTTTATTTCCATTCTTTGTAGTGTTATCCCCAACATGTGCATTCCTGGACACTATAGTTTAATCTTGCTCATTTTTTTCTTAACCTTCAAAGTTAATTTTATTAAGGAATAATTTACATACAATAAAATGTTCTTAAGTTTACGGTTGAATGCTGTATTCAGTTTCTTTAAAGTTATGGAACTATTCAGCTTTCTATTTCTTCTTGAGTCAGTTTTGGTCATCTGTGTCTTTCAAGGAATTGGTTGTTTCATGTAAGTCGTCAGTTGTATTCACATCAAATTGCTCATAATACATGATCATCTTTCTGTTGTAGGATCTGTACTGATGATTCCTTTTTCAGATCTAATGTTGATAATTTATGTCTTCTCTCATCTTGTCTTGATCTTTACAGAGAATTAGATTTTGGTTTTGTTGGTTTTTATATTTTCTCTATTGTTTGTTTTCTATTTCATTGATTTCTGCTCATATATTTTTTTAGAGGGGGGAAGGGCAGAGGAAGAGGGAGAGAGAGAATCTTAGACTCCAGCACAGAGCCCTACACAGGGCTCAGTCTCATGACCCTGAGATCATGACCTGAGCCCAAATAAGAGTCAGATGCTTAACCTAATGAGCCACCCAGGCGCCCCTATTTCTGCTCATAGTTTTATTTTTTCCTTTCCAGTACTTGGATTTACTTTGCTTTTCTTTTTCTGGCTTTTTAAGGTGAAAGTAGCTTAGATCAGTGATTTTCATACTTTCCTTCTTTTCTCATAATTATTTAAAGCTATAAATTTTCTTCTAATTACTGTTAAATCTAATTACCATTTTAGCATATCCCACAAATTTGGATATGTTGTGTTATTTTTATTCCATTCAAAATATTTTAAAATTTCCTTTGTGATTTTTCTTTGACTCATGGCTTATGTAGAAGTATGTTCTCAGCTTCCAAATAATTTGGGATTTTTCCAGGTAACTTTCTGATTTCAATTTTTAAGTTAATTTTGCTATGATCAGAGAATATCATATAATAGAAATTCTCTGAAATCGATTAAGACTTGTGTTATGGTTTGTGGTCCTGTTTTGCTGTATGTTCCATATACCCTTAAAAAAAGAATGTCATGTTTTGCTGTTTTTGGTGGAGTGTTCTGTAGATCTCAATCAGACAGCTTGGTTGATAGTGTTGTTGGTCTTCTGTATCCTTCTGATCCTCTGTTTATTCGATTGATAATACTAAGGGAAGAGTGTTGAAATCTTCAACTCTAGCTACGGATTTGTCTATTTTTCCTTTCTGTCAGTTTTTGCTTCACATATTTTAAAGCTCTGTTATTTGTTGGTACGTACGAATTTAGATTTTTCTAAAAATAGCTGACTCCTTCATCGTTATGAAATGTCTCCCTTTTTTTATTTCTTGTAATATTCTTTGTTTTGAAGTCTGCTTGGTCTGATATTATGATAGTCATGATGAGTTTTTGCACGGTAGATCTTTTTCCTTCTTCATTCTTTTTTTTTTTTTTTTTAAAGATTTTATTTATTTATTCATGAGAGACAGAGAGAGAGAGGCAGAGGGAGAAGCAGGCTCCCAAGGAGCAGGGAGCCCGATGCGGGACTCGATCCCAGGACCCCGGGATCATGACCTGAGCCGAAGGCAGACGCTTAACCATCTGAGCCACCCAGGCGCCCTCCTTCTTCATTCTTTTACTTTCAACATATTTTTGTGTTTGTATTTAGAGTGGGTTTCTTGAAGTCAGCAAAGCTGACTCTTGCTTTTTTTATCTAGTCTGACAATCTCTGCTTTTTACTGCAATATTTAGAGTACTCAGATTTAATGTAATTACTGATATGATTGGATTTAAATTTACCCTCTTGCTGTTAGTTGTCTGTGCCATCTCTTATTTTAGTGTCATCTTAGTTTTTTTAGGGTTTTTCTGTTTTTTGTTTTTGTATTTAAGGACTGTTCTCATGTGTGCGCGCTGTTCGTTAACTTGGCACAATGCACTGCCAGTAGTGTTACAGTATCCAGGTTTAATGTGAGAACCGACACAAGTATTTTTTCCTCTTGTCCTTTGTGCTGTTGTCAGAAGTTTTACTTCTCTGCATGATATAAGCCTCACAATGTATTGCTGTTGCTACTTTAGGTCTAAACCATTGATTATATTAAACAGATTTTCAGACATGAGAAGACGTTTTATTGTCACTCCACATACACATCATTTCCACTGCTTTTATTTCCTTATGTAGATGCAGATTTCCATCTAGTGTCACTTCTCCTGCCTGAAGAACTTCCTTTAACGTTGTTTTATAGCGCAGGGCTGCTGCTGCTGAATTTTCTCAATTCCTTTTCTCTGAAAATGTCTCTTTTATCTCCTTTTTTGAAGGATATTTTTGATGGATATAGAACTTTAGGTTGACTTTTTTCTTCTAGCGCTAAGGATGTCGTCCTGTTGTCTTCCATCTTGAATTGATTCTGATGAGAAATTAGTGATAAATCTTATCTTTGATTTTTTTATATGTAAGTGACTTTATTTATTTTTACTGCTTCTAAGATTTCCATTCAGCAATTTGATTTTTAATAACTTAACTATGATCTGTCCTGGTGTGGATTTTTGGTGTGTGTTCTGCTTGGAGCTCATTGAGCTTCTTGGAACTGTTTCTTTATAGTTTATATCAAATTTGGAAAATTTTCAGACATTCATTCTTCAAATATTTTTTTCTGCTCTGTTTTTGTCTTTTTATGGGATTCCAATTACATGTATGTTAGCTTGATATTTTCCCACAGTTCACTGAGGCTCTGCTCATTTTTTTGACCAGTGTTTTTCTTTCTATGTTTCTATTTGGATAGTTTTTATTACTTTATCTTCAAGTCTTTTCTTCCTTGGTGTCTAATTTAATCTTAGTTTCCTTTAGTGAATCTTCCACTTAAGAGATTTCCCTTGTAAAGAAGTTCTGTTTATATTTTATACTTTCTATTTTCCTTACTACATTTATATTTTTTTTGTCTTTGAGCATAAATATTTATAATAGCTTTTTGGAAGATCTTTTCTGAATCTATTTGTTACTTCCAAGTATATTTCTTTCTCTCTTATTTTATTTATTTATTTGACAGAGACAGCGAGAGAGGGAACACAAGCAGGGGGAGTGGGAGAGGGAGAAGCAGGCTTTCTGCCAAGCAGAGAGCCCGATGTGGGGCTCGATCCCAGGACCCTGGGACCAAGACCTGAGCCGAAGGCAGATGCTTAACGATTGAGCCACCCAGGCGCCCCTATTTCTTTCTTTTTTTAAAAACCAATTTTTAAAGGTATGACTGATTTACAAAAAGCTTTACATATTTAACATATACAGTTTGAATAGTTTGGCAGGTCTGTTTCTTCTCATGGTTAAAGTCACATTTTTCTGTTTCTTCACACGTCTAGTAATTTTTTATGGGATGTTTGACACTATGAATGTTATGTTGTTGAGTGTCTGGATTTTGTTGTCTTCACTTAATGGGTGTTGAATTTTTGTTTTTTTAATTTTCTAATTTTTGTTCAGTGGTTTAATCACCCGTGGATCAACTTGATCCTTTGCAGGCTCGTTTTTTTTTTAAGATTTTTTTATTTGGGGCGCCTGGGTGGCTCAGTTGGTTAAGCGACTGCCTTCGGCTCAGGTCATGATCCTGGAGTCCTGGGATCGAGTCCCACATCGGGCTCCCTGCTCAGCAGGGGGTCTGCTCTCGTGCTCTCTATCTCTCATTCTCTCTCTCAAATAAATAAAAAAAAATTTTTTTATTTATTTGAGAGAGAGAGCATGAGCAGGGGTGAGGAGAAGAGGGAGAGGGAGAAGCAGGGTCCCCGCTGAGCAGGGAGCCCAGTGCGGGGCTTGGTCCCAGGACCCTGAGATCATGACCTGAGCCAAAGGCAGATGCTTCACCGACTGAGCCACCCAGGTGTCCTTGCAGGCTCATTTTTCACCTTTGTAAAAAAAACTTCTTTCTTAAAGGGCCAAATAGTAAATATTTTAGGCTTGCAGGGCATATTGTCTTTGTTGTGACCACTCAAATCTTCTGTTTTATATCAAAAGCATCCACAAAAAATATGTAGCTGTGTGATATGGCTGTGCTTCAATAAAACTTTATTTACAGAAACAGCCAGCCAATTGCAGGCCATATTTTGCCAACCCGTAGGTTAGGGTAGCCTTTATTCTAGGGTTGGTTAAGTTGTACTGCTAAGGTGTGACCCTTCTGGGTTCTCTTCTGAATGCCTTTTGAATTTAATGAAGCCTCTCCGTGCTGGCTGGGTGGAGCTGAGATGTCTTGAGCCTCTGTGGCCGCTGTTGCACTCAACGGTTCCCCTGTGTTCTCTGCCTGGACTCAGGGATTCTCACCCTGTACACAGGTTAGTTTTCTGTGACTCCCTTTGCAGATTTCTGGAGCTTGTTCTCTTTACCCTCTCTTCCTTCCCAGCACCTTGCCGCCAGCTCCGGCAGCCTTACCCTCCTGGAACTTTGGGTTTTTTCCTCAGTTCTACACACCCATGCTGCGTTTGGTTTTCCTGCTGGTGGACTGGGGCGTGGGAACGGCTTCCAGCAGGAAGCTGAGAGATCGCAGGGCTCGCCGTGTTTGTTTACCTTCTCTTAGGGTTGCAGTCCTGAGCTGCCTCTTGTCAGCGTCTGGAAACCGCTGTGTCACACGCTCCGTCCCGTTTTCTAGCTGTTCACAGTAGGAGGGCAAGTTCGGTGCCTGTTGTTATGTCCTGGTCAGAAGTGGAAGCTTTTTTCTTTTCTTGTGTAGATAAGCCCTGTAAGTCTCTTTCATGTGTGAGTTTTTCTCCATCCCTTTCTTTTCTCCACAATTTTCCTTTCGAAGAACCCCTGGACTGTTTGACTCCCAGCATTTCCCAAAGTCTTGATTTTGCTGACAAGACATGAAACCTGGAGAGTACATCTTCACTAAACATTTAGATAGTGCTTGTCCTCATGTGTTCAGTGGATTTGTTTGATATTTGACTGGGGACGCCTAGTTTCGTGTGTGCACTTGCTTGAGCTGGTGCTCTGTGGGTCTGGAGGGGTTGACGGGCCCACGCCATGGTAGCCTCTGGTTGCAGTCTGGCCGTGTCAGTTACAGAGGGAGGAGACCACCAATGTGGTCTTTCATACATTGTTGTTTTCTGTTCTAGGACATCCACTGGATTCCTTTTTTTGTAGACTTGAGTTCCTTTCTGAAAAGTGTCCATGTTTGCGTTTGTCTTACTCATATTTTCTTTCTGGTAGCCGTTTCAAGTCCTTGTCTGCTGGTTTTCACTTCGGGTCATTGGTGCCTCTGCTTCTGTTAGCTGGCCTCTCCTGGGGTTCTGGCCATGTTCTCCTGCTCTTCTTCACACCCTGTAGTTCTTAGTGTCGGCCTGACTTCAGGTGGGAAAGAGTGCGAAGGGTGAGGGTTCCACTATTCTCCAGGAGTTTCTTTTGCTTTTGGTCCAGGCAGACCGAGGCCCCTTTACCTGGGTCCAGTCCCCTCTGATTAGGGGAGACCCTCCCCAGCTCTTGATGGAATACACACGGTTTATTTCTCCTTCCCGAAAGGCTGCATGTGTGGCTGGACAGTGCCCTGGTGATGCTTAGCTTTCCTTTCTTGTGTCCGGCCTGCCCTGTTAATACGGTTCGCGGAGGTCAGGAGGAGGCAGGCCCCTTCCCCGAGAACACGACTCAGATCTTTGCTCTGCCATTCTGCAACTCTGCAGCGTCTGCATGGCCCCTGGGTTCAGTAAACGGGCTGTGGGGTCACTGCTGCCCTGAGCGTAAGGTTCAGAGGTGTCCGGCTCAGTGTGTCCCCCAGAGGGCAGCCAGCCCTTGGCTAAGCCCAGGAGTGGGGCTGCCACCCCTCCCTCAGCCCTAGCGCATCTGGCCCGTGTCACTCCACAGCTCACCAGTGTCTTTAAGATGTGGTCTTAGCAGCTTACTGGGCTTATATTTTTGACTTGTAGCCGTAGGGTTCTGAGTCTCCCTGCTCCTTGCTGATCAGAACCCAAAGGGCCAGTGGCCTTTTTTGGAGACAGTGGACGCTCTCATTGGCCCCCTCCTTACCAGGGGTCCCCTTGCAGGGAGCGAGGCCCCAGCTCTCCGGCGTGGTTGGAGCCTCCCTGGTGGGGCATGCCCCTGGCTGTGCTCAGACCTCATGGTGACCCATGTCTTGCTGCCATCTCTGTGGACACACTTGAGATGAATGGGCGTTTGGATTTACCCTCGACAGAGCTGTGACGGTGTGCGCATTGCTGACCACTGTCTGGTGGTGCCGAAGGTGGATCACTTGGTCACGGCTTCCCCAGCCTTTCTTCTGGGCTGGCTGCAGCTAGGAAGGGGAACGTCGGGTGGGGAGGTTTGCAGAACACCTTGGCAGGCAGGTCGGGCTGGACTTGGCCCTTCTGCATGAACTCCTTCTCCACGGCCCCCCTGAGCGGCAGTGCTGTTCCTGTCCTACTGTACGGATATTGGGACAGCCCAGAGGGGCTTGCTGAGGTGAGGGGTGTGTGAGCAGGTGTGTGAGCGGTGCTGGGGCTGCCCTGAAGTCTGGCTACGACTTGCGCTTGGGAAGGACATCAGGAGGTTCAGGCACAGGAGGGGGATCCCTGGCAGACTCCAGTGAGGGATGCCCGCATTGTCCGGTGAAATGAGCTTGGAGGACACCGCTTGTGCCCAGCAGGGCCGGAGTGAGGTGGCCAGCACGGGTGACGTGGGGTCTCCAGCCTGCCCAGCAAGCAGGAAAGGCCCCGGTGGGCTTGGCCTTCCTGGGACCTCCTGGCGCTCCCCTCCACCCTCCCGCTCCAGAGCCCCCTCAGGTGAGACTGGAAAGGGGGTGGCCGTTGGGCCTCCTCCTTGGTTGGGTGGTGCCCTTGAACCTGAGGGACGTGGGCTCAGGTCAGGTGTCAGCCCCCGGTGTGAGAGTTCAGTCAGGCTTTGCCAGCAGAGCACACAGAGCCGCCAAAGCGCAGCGGGCACCTGGAAGGCACGTGCCCTGAGTGCGTCTGTGGGGGACCCACGGCGGGTTGGCACTGATCATCCAGGTGAGTGCCCGGCGACACAAGCCCACTGATGGGAAGGACAAAGGTCCAGCGCGGGGTGAGGGTGTCAGGGGCCAAGCCGAGAAATCTGTTTGGCAGAACACAGAAGAAACCACGTCCCAGTCCGGAGGGGTGCCCGAAGCATGTGGAGAGCATGTGGAGCAGGATGCATTTTGTGATGCCTGCAGATTTCAGATAAAAGGAGAAAGTCCCCACTGTTCCCAGAGACAGAGCAGCTCACCTATGGAGGGAAGGGGCTCCCACAGGCTCTGGGGCCTTTAGGGACATCACTTGCTCAGACGGGCAGCACTCACCCCAAGGGCCCCGGGGGCGGCTCTCTCTGGGGCGGGGGGCGCTGGGACAGAGGACTCTATTCTGGTGGGGGGCGCTGGGTCAGAGGATGGCGCTCTGGGGAGGCAGTGGACAGAGGACGGTGCTCTGGGGGGGCGCTGGACAGAGGAGGGCGCTCTCTGGGGGGTGGCGCTGGACAGAGGATGGTGCTCTCTGCGGGGGCGCTGGGTCAGAAGAGGGCACTCTGGGGGGCTGCTGGGACAGAGGACGGTGCTCGGGG